CACTGCCCTATAACCCGTTCGTTTTCCCCCTTTGGTTGAACCAACTTTCTATTTTTCCTTTTTTTTTTTGTTTTTTTTTTTTTTTTGGGATATTTATACGTCAGGCGATCCTTTATATTTACTGACATATCTTGTTACATGTTCTAGCCGCGATCGTCAATGCTGGTTTCATCTTTTTTACCTTCATTATCTCGTTGCCTGCGATAATGCTAGGAACGGTCCGAGTTTGGCTTAAAATCCATGGCTGGTTCGTCGTTGCAAGCGGCATTTTCACCCTTTGTTTGGGGTTGAGCATCTGGTTCGAAACTCTCACAACGCGGTCAAAATTAGAGACTATGTGGAATGCACAGCCTGCGGCGATACAAAGCTTGCTTCAGCAAAGGGTGCGTTGTTGAGATATATATATCGATATATATCATCATATATTTCGTTGAAGAGAGTAGTGGAAAAGAAGTTATAAGCTATAAGAACAGATACTGACGACGCAAATATCCTCAGTTCGACTGCTGCGGCTATCTAAACAGCACTTCTCCGCCATTCCAAGTCGATCGAATATGCCCGAACCCACTTGTTGCTGCACAGAAGGCAGGATGCGTAGGACCCTTCTCCAATTACGCAAATCACTTTCTTGATGTTATTTTCACGGCGGATTTCGGTGTTGTCGGTGAGTTATTTGATTTCCGTTCCTTCAAGCTTGAAAATATATAAATTATGTAACGAAGAGGAGGGGAAAAAGCGGCCCAGCGGGATTTCTTTCCCTCAAATCTAACTAATTGCATATTCATAGCCATCGATGCTATCCTCCTCCTGTGCATTGCGATTGTCCTCAAGGACCAAAAGGACCGCGAAAGGTACCGCCAGATAGATTTAAAGAATGGGTTCGAAACTATATAAGTAAATGGCCTGGATGATTGTTTGCCACCAAGCGAGAAAGAGAGCATTCATAGGCCAGGTTCATGTTTTGGTTTATGAGCCAATAGAAATAATAACTAGAGGCTTGCTCGCTAGAAATGAACCTGGACAAATATCTAAATGTCCGCCACGGTACAAGAAGTAGAGGTATTCTATTTGCTGATGATATTCGACCCTTATATGAACATTACGTTTCTAGCATATCATTTCCTCTTCCCTATGCAACCATATCTTGTCCCATCTCGTTCGTTCTCCATCACTCTGTTTACTTCTGTTCGAAAATATCTCACGTTGTTCCTTCCAGCGTCAGTTACTGTATTATTATTATCCTACCAGCCCTTTCAATCTTGGCCCCTCGGGTAAATAAGTACAGCGACAATATATCTATATATATACATATACGCAGTCAATGCTCAGCTACATCCACGTTTTGATTGTTTGTTACTGATAGTCTCAAATAATAGATGGGTATGAATATTCGACTTTGAGTCTTTGATTTAATTCAAATATAGCAAACAGCGCCGATATGAGGAGCAGAACCTACAGGCAGCGCGCAGAATAACAAACTATATTCACAAACCACTCAACACGCGAGAACATGGGCTATAATGGAATACAAATGGAATTAGAATGGCCGATCCATTGAGCGAGAAAGAAGGGAGAATTAAAAAGGAGCAAAAGAAATCGGATTTCAAAAGGCGAAATGAAACGGAGACAAAGGAGGGAATGTGAATGTGGAATGCGATAAAAATAAGTAAGCAATGAACATAACAAGCCCCGCATAACTGGATGTTAAAATAAAGCAGTCCAAACGAGCTACTCACCTAAGAAAACTCAACTGTGAATGAATGGCACTTCGAATCAAATTAAAGTAAATTGAGACCTCCCTCCCTCCCCCATCCCCCCTCCAAAAAAAAAAAAAAAAAAAAAAAAAAAAAAAAAGACAAGAAAAAGGAAAAGGAAAAAGAGTGAAAAACTCCGTTCCGAAGCCCATGGTTTCTCCACCTTCGCCGCATATGTCTTTCCGTATGTATATGATTTCTAATATGTATCAGGTGAGATGAAAATGAAACGGAAAGGAATAGTTTAAGGGAATACGTGGTGTCGTTAGGTATAGGCGGATATTAGTCGAAGAAGAGATGGGAGAGAGCCAATTGAAGGTAATAGTAGGGCGGATGTATAGAAATGCAGGACCGATGAAAATAGGAACCCTAGGAGCCAACCCCTGGGGAAAACATCATGTCGTCTCAATCATGCTTTTACCTGTCTTTGAATGTCATTTCGCTTTAGCTTGCCAGGCTTTCCTTCTGTTGGGTTAAGTTTCTTCTTACTCGTTGTGACAATGGTAGTTGTTGTGGCACTTGCGGGTTCAACATCGCCGCCGCCACCCGCCGAAGTAGGTGTTGAATCGGGAAACTCCATGGCAGCTGCCATGTCGGGTGTGGTTCCGATTTTGAGCTTGCTTGGTGGGGTTGGCTTCATGCTGGCGTATTTTTTGGGAGTGTTCAGTTTCTTCTTTTTGGGAATGGATCCAGATGCAGTATCGTCGTCGCCATTGGGGAGGGCTCGTTTGAGCATTGAAGGTTTTGTTGGAAGTGGCACCGGCGCACTAGTTCCGCTTTCCATCGGGGTGAGATTGCGTTTTGTTAGTCTGCCTGATAGGCCTAGACACCTATCAAGGTGTTGCGCGACTCTGGTGACGACAAAGTAGCGTGGGCAGTTTGGGCATTTCACGGTGGGGAAGGATATTTTTTCAGCGACGACGTGTTTGAAGGAGTTTGACGGCGTTGATGGTGTTGATGGTGGACTAGACGCGGGCGTGTTTGAGCTATTTGGCTGCTGTGGTTGTTGCTTTTTTTTCCTGTTTATTTTATCTGTGGCAAATGGATTACCATGAACATCATGGCCAGGCATGATGATCGGGGGGTGCTTTTTACAGTATTCTTTATACGGATCTGGTGGTGGTCTAGAGCCAATGCCGGAGGGCGGATAAAGGAGGCGGGGGAAACGACAATTAGGACATAAGATTTCTTTGGTCGTCTGAAATGGATTCCCTTTCAAGTATACTTTACCATTTTCGTAAATTGCACCGTCTGTCTCGACCCGAACGAGGTTGCTGTCTTTTTGTTTCAAGTTTGACGGCGTAGCAGCACTGAGCTCCGCAGATCCGTTCTCAAGTGCTCCCTCTTGTTTTTGGAGACGGTTTGTTTCTTCCTCACCAATTTTTTTGGCCAAGACGACAGCTGACCTCATACGTGCAATTTTCTCTTCACGGTGAACTTTTGAAACAAGGTCATGTATTATGTTGTAGAAGGTGTCATCCAGGACACTCCGTGCCTGTATAAGTTAGGTCATGCAGCCGAAAAGTCCTTGGAGCAAGAAAACAGCAGTTTGGGCTCTTACCAATTTAGACATAGTCGCAGGTATATCGGTCTCTGCCTCCGGAATCCCAGCCATGCTGGGAACTTTGCCCCCCTGCATTTGCACCTGCAATCAGTTTATATGAAACAATGGAGGGCTACACAATCCACCCACAACTCAAGATGCATGCAAATCGAAAATATGTTAAGGAGGTGTAAGAGGGCTTGGGTTGACTTAGAAAAAGCCTTAATTGCCAGAGGTTTCCGGAACTTCCGAGTGCATGTACAGGCCATAATTGCACACAAAGCGGCTTCAAAAACGGACAAAATAGATGCTCACTTGATGTCTAAAATGGACACAACGGGTTCACTTCAAAGCAACTTCTGCAAGACCCCGCCCCTTAACTGCACGGATTCTTCTGCCCTAGCCGTATAGTTTGTCTCCATGCGTTTTAAATCAACATTAGTGTTGAGAAGCAGATCCAAAGCGTGTGGCTCAAGGATGAAACTTCGACGGGTGATTTTTTCTTTCTTTCTGTCGCTTGACAGCTCCAATCGCAACTTTTGATCGGCCCAACGGCGGTTGTCTGTATGTTAGAGACGGAGGCTATCCAAAAATAAGGGAATACAAAGGAGGGCCCCTTGGACCTCTTCCTAGGCGTTCATTTATTGGGAAAATAGGTAAGGGGCGACATGTATTTCTTTGGGGGCTTTCCTGCAACACCTGGGCATAAAGTTAGACCGTGGTCACAACGTCAGCTCAAGATTAGTGAGACCTTGGGGAGTAAAGCGTACCTCAGCGTAAGTAAAAATGCCCAAAAATGTGCAGTCTACCTACCCTCTGAGCGGCAACAACGGCGGCTAAACTGTGAATTAAGCAGGCTGAGGGCGGGTGTCGTGGTATTCCTGCACGATGAATTGTCGAAATGCAAGCTCCAAGCTTTCCGCCGCGGTCTTTCTTGGAGAAACCCCGGCAGTTGGCTAAACTAGTTACTAGTAAGGAGGAGTTAGTTATTGCGATATGTCACGTTGGCTTACATATCGGGAGCAGATCTTATCTTATCTCATCTCCGCAAACCCTATTTAAGCCGCTGGACTGAGGATCAGGCTTCCATTTCTGGATTATTCAAGCTCGCCATTTGACTTTTCGTTGTATACGGCCGCTAAATTTTCTTGTGGAAGAGACAAGTCCACGCTTATCAGACACCTCCACCATCAACGCATCAGAGCTATGGCATTGCCCTTTTTTGCGAAGGGTTCAGCGGCCAAGGCCTCCCCTCCTCCCCCATTCTCCCCGCCGACTACAGCAAACAACAGAGCCAACAATAACCGACCAAATGTCAACAAGGGGAGTTTGTTCCAAACAACATCCCCAACTCCGCCGTCATTAACTTCGGCGCGCATCGGCAAGTCTCGTAACACCGACCCCGCTTTTGAACCAAAGCCGTACCCCAGCTCTCTCGAGACCATTTATACTCCGCACCCAAACGTCACGATCGAACCAGTCAAAACGGCGCACATACCGTCATTAATGCGGATTACAGGTCTTTTGCTCCCAGTGCGCTATCCAAACTCGTTTTACACGGCTACAATCACGGACTCTATTGTCGCGTCGATTTCACGCGTTGCCATTTACCATGACCATCCTGTCACCGATATAACGGCAACTACCTTTCCCACAACGGCCAAAGCACCATCATTGTCGAGTTCAGATAAGGTTATTGGCGGGATACGATGTCGATTAGAACCTCTTCCTCCACCCTCTGAGCTTTCTGTTTCGTGTCCGTTGCGGCAGGCAACGAATTTATATATACAAACACTACACCTCCTATCACCTTATCGTGGCAGAGGCATTGCCACTGCTCTACTAGACTCCTTGATATATGATTCGGCTTCACCCCCAGGGACTCCAATGCGAGCAGTATCGGGGATTGTTAGGCATTATAATATCCAGACAGTAACCGCGCATGTCCACGAGACTAACGAGGAAGCGTTGCTCTGGTACTTGGCACGCGGATTTACAATACAAGGAGGTGTGGTTGAAGGTTATTACAGACGGTTGAAGCCTGGTGGTGCGAAGATAGTCAGCCTCAAGCTTGCATGGGAAGAAGATGACGAAGATGCTAAGCCTGGGTCCCTCAATGACGCTGGGTGCAAGGATGACGAAGGCGATGACGATTGGGAGAAGGTTGAGCTGGATGAATGCGACCCTACCACGGCAGAAAAACTGGAAGAATATGTCAGGAAACGGGTGAAAAGCGCATGAACGTTGGCGAATAGTATTGTCATTGGAGCTTATACAGCGAAGAAGATCCTTGTTTACTCCAATCCAAAGTCGTTTTATGGTATCCTTTGATGCAACCTTGGGAGGGGAGTACTATGGATTACTACTAGGGCACAAACACAACTTAAGCGCTGCTTGCGGAGTTTCGAAGATTGGTGCCACGTTATCCATCCATATACCTTCTCTCTCCCGTTTCTATCCGTCAACGACCGCGTTCGAGAAGCCGAGCCAACAACGCATCCGGGAATGTAAGCGCTCCGTAAACCCTATCCGGTCTCGAGGGCGGTCTGCGGAAACGTCCCTTCACCATCCACAACCTTATATATACCTACATTGCAATCTCACCGTATCTCATAAGAGCTTCCTTCTACTCTCGAGAACTTCAAACTACAACACGTCCATGAGGTTGGCACATTTTCCGTCCGTGCTTGGCGTTATAATATCCATCGCTATTTCTCTCCCAAACGAGAGGTAACATGCGTCTGCCTCGATTTGCTAAAGTTATGTGCCATTCAAAAATCCCTTGGGAATGTATGTTGAGGGAAATGTCGTGTTTTTTTGTGTGAGTGAATGAGTGAGTGTGTTTGTGTGCGTGCGAGACGATAATTGTAATATTATCCTAGGATAGAATAAACTGCCGCACCTCTTGAACGATATGTAAATATATATATATATATATATATATATATATATATTATTTGATATGACTTGATTAAATGATGGGGACGAGGTAAACTTATGGTCCTTAGCCACATACAATGAATCCATTTTCCGGTTGGATAATAAATCATAGCCCTAGCCCGGGTATCCCCTTCCATCCAAATATATACATAAGAAAAAAGAACAAAAAACCAAAGGTACGTATATGCTTGGAGAAAATAATATGAACAATACTTATGTGTCAACCACCCTCCCCAGACAAACATATCCCACCCACCCGCCAACCACAACTCGGCCTCTCAAATAGCATAATTCTCGGTATGCAAATACAGTTCATCCTTCCCCGGATCCTTCATAACAACCCTCTGCAACTGCGCAACAGTATTCGCCACATCAATCCGCATACTAGGCGGTCCGCAGACAAATACACACGTACGCCGGCCGAAATCTTTAGCAAACTGCCGCAGCATAAAGGGGATATCCGGCCGGCCATATTCGGTACGCCAGCCGTCGCGTTTTTGCGTCGGGAGGAAGGCGAAACGCATTAGGTTCTTTTGGAAAAGTGTGGGGGTGCTGGGAAAACCGAAGTCGAAAGAGCGTGGGTCTTCCGTCGCTTGTTGTGGTTGGTGTTGTTGGTTGAAGTAATCCTCTTGGGAGAAAGGAAAAGAGGGGAACGGGTGTGCGGATCCGGCGACGGGAATGGGGGCGACGATTTCGGGGCCTAGGGAGCGCGAGTGATGAAAGGTTTGGTGGTGTTGCTGGATGAGGGCGGCTGGTAGGGCAGAAATTCCATCCTCGTTTTCGCGGCGAAGTTCCTTTTCGCGCTCTACATCCCCGCCAGCTTCCTCACGGATGAAGGCAGAGTTTCGCTTGCTAGCGACTCCCTGGAAAGCGTCATTTATCCGATCGTGTAAGACGGTGCTATGGGGCCTTGAGCGAGTTATAGTAGTTCCGTCGTAGCGCTTCGCGGCCGTGAGGTAGAATTGGCAAAAGACAGAGCCTGGAGGGGCATATTCACGACATATTCGCAATTCTTCTTTGAACCATTCCATAGTTTCCGGGCGTTTGAGGGCCCAGATAACCCGCACAGTTCGCGTGAGGGCCTTGCCGTCTCGCATTCTTTTGATTAGATCAAGGAGCTGGCTAGCGATGGCTGTAATGCCACTGCCCCCCGCAAAAAAGACTACGTCATCGAATGAGGCCATTTCCCGTCGCATGCCTCCGTAAGGGCCATCAATAAAAGCACGGTAAGTCTTATATGGCCCTTTTTCAAGAGCAATGTCAAGTACTTTGCCGGTAAATCCACCAAATGGCCGAAAGACAAGTATCATATCTCGGTACTCCTCGCCGTATTCGGAGGGAAAGTCGTCACTACATAGAGAGGCAACTGTGAAGGGGTGATTTTCGAAGAATGAGATACCTGGCATCCGTAAATAGACGTACTGACCTGGCTTCCATCTCATCTGCGTAGGGATCGTGACTTTAACCGCAGTCTCGGGCAGAATTGTGACTGCAGACTCTTCCCCGATGAGCCAGGAAATACGGAAGGGGTTAGTCCAATTGAGGAAGAACAGCCTAGCGAAGTATGACACCAGCCAGATCCCCACGGTAGAAAACAGGTAATGCCATGAAGTCAAGAAATTTTTGCAGTGCCAGAAAAGCGTTCCAAGGAACACGATGCTGACAGGTACATGTAAGGTTACGAAGAGCTCATACATCCGGCTGCGGAGCACGGGTAAGGAATGGACACAAAGGAAACAAAGCGGTGCGAATGCTGCCAGTCCAGAGGCGTAGATATACAGATTTCCAGTGCGAAGCTTCCCATATATTTGCAATCCGTCGTTCTCCCAGACAGGGGTAATATAAAATGGAATCATGTGAACAAGACTCAAAAAGAGGCAGAGGTAGCCGCCCCACCGATGCAAAACATTAAGCCGCTCATGGCCAATGCCGGTCATTAGAGAGATGAGATTTGCCTTCGAGCTCAATGCGACTATCCACGGCATCAACGCAACAGCGATCATTCCAGCACGGATAGCTAAGGGGGGAGATCCGGCTCGGATGCTGCTATAAAAAAGGGGTTGGGGTACGAAGCAGTAGAGCGTGACAAATATTAAAGCCATTGTCACTACAACGCTAGCACCCATAGACGGGGGTACGATCTCCACTTTCCATAGTCGAATAACTGGAATTGGTCTGTAGACTATCCACCTTATCAACGCTGTTAGGTAGTTTATGAATGGTAAATTCGAGATGGAAGATTCCCGTTTAGGCCCGGAAACGGAGTCAAGTGTTTCTTCAGTAGGGAAGAAATTGCGCGAAGAGTTGGCTGTGCCAGGGCTTGTCATCTCGATATCCAACTGCGGCGATGACATCTTGATATTACGGATTTCTTCCTTGTAGAGGCCTGTTCTTATCTTATCACACCAAATATTGTAAAGATAAAACAAAGTCGTCGCAACAAGCAGAATTATGGAGAAATATACCCAGCCAAGGGCATATTTACCTGATTTTATCCATGGATCCCTGTTGCTCTCTTCTATTTGTATCGGAGACTGGTAGACCCCCGGCGGAATTGCGATACGTTTCCACAATGATACCAGTGATTCCAATCTCCTGGGGAAAATCCCTGAGCGGTTCTCCAACTTGTTGAGCGGTGACATGTTGCGTTGATTTCAAAGGCGCTGCCCAAATCGCGCTGTGGCAATCATCTACTCAGGCCTTATCCAGATGGTATACCATGAGAATACGTCGACCTTCCCGACTTTGAAGATTCCTTTGCCTAGCCTGTTCAGGCTCTAAAGCATTCTCCTTGTAATCGACCAACGGCCCACCTGAAATTACTTACAATAATCCCTAGTATCCACTCCACCCTTTATAACGAGGCTATTCGCGAGAGGAACTGGGGCGCAAGACAGCCGATAAAGTGTGAGATATCCACGGAATATACAAGGTTAAAATTGTCAGGGCGGCAGCCTAAGAGCCAGTGGGCATTGACCACATCTGCGCCTGTTGTCAAGACGAAAGGTGGAGTTAGAGAAGAAAAGCGGAGGTGTCGATTGAAGCGGCAAACAACGACATGCGAAAAGGCGAGATTCGGGAAAAACTGCCGATTTCGACTTGTGTTGATTCGGCCTCGCTCCTGGAACCCACACGTGTACTTTTTTTCAGACAGTCTAACAGATATGTAGACGTCGTGCAACTGGATCCCACGACGTACCGATAACACCCCTTAAGGAGGTAATGTAAGACAGGAAAACGAAAGTAAGACCACAGCAGACCAGGCTTGGTGTGCAAAAGCGAAATATGTATTGAAACGAATGAATGTAAACATGCAAGTTAAAGACAACGGGCAGCTTGATAGCTCTTTGACAGGAGGCGTATTCGGCAAACTGTGAGTCAGATGGGTAGATATATGTTGGTTTGAGGGGAGGAATCTGTGCGGCCTCTCGGTGAGTGTATGGGTGTAGAGGTGGGACAAAAGCTACTCCACTTCCTCGGAAAAAGGGTGCTTTTAGGGTACTCAAGATTGCTCGTCGACGGGAATTGGCTGGAATTGGTGTAATGTAATGCGATGAGCGTGCGGGTAGAAGAAAGTTAAAAACGCAGAGCTACTTGGCAGCAGTCAACAGTTTGTCGTGATGTATGAAATTGTGGAGTGTGGCTGAAGGATGGTGTTTTGTTGTCTGTAAAGCCGGCGGCTGTTTGGATTTTGAGGGCAAATTTTCTTCTGTTCAAGTCAGAGGTTGGAGGATCCAAATGCCGCTCAACCGGCGCTTTTGAGGACAAAAGCTGGGAGCATGGGGGAATGCCGCGGGGGCTGCACCAGAGACAAAATTATCAGCGACAGAAAGATCTCTCTGCATTAGCTTTCCCGAAGGCGGAGACGTTTTGTTCGAATCAGAAGCGAGGATGGAGTGCTCACAATGTGATGACCAAGGATAGCATCCTTAAAAACATCCGAGCTAACTGTGGATTATCCATCAAGCTTTGTATTTGCATCTGTTCATCAGAGCCAATCAGGAAGCCTTGATACCTTGCCAAGTTAATAATCATCCATGTAGAGAGTACTCCGTACGGATATATACATAGCTTCGCAAAAGGGGAGGTGCTGGCAGATAATTCGTTCCCAACTCAAGCCACTCTTCAAGGATGCTCCTATTCAGTTGTTCCGCATCTTGCATGCAACTGTACGGAGTAGAGCCACCACGACGGGTTTACAAGCAACCATGTGTGCATACTTTCGGCAGCCATCTGCGCATTAAGTCTTGGTTGAAATGTGCCTGTTTCTGCAGACACTCTGAAGGGTACATGGCAATTACCAAAGACTGACTTGCACGACAGCTTCGGTATTGATGTCACCACATTGTAACATGGCATTCGCCTTGCACAGAATCAGTCCAACCACGATCTCAGTCGTGACGATGTTCGATACGACCTCCACGCCCTCATACCTAAACCCCGCCAATCACAAAAGATCGAAGGAGACAGGCGAATCATAGAGCTGTGTTTACCGCTCCCAGCCCTTGTTCGCGAACCAAGCGCAGACCCTGGAATCGACATGGGATTGGGGGACAGTCTGGCCCGTCCCGAGCCTGACTCGCTCCAGCCTGCAGTAGCAAGGTCTAGCGCTGTGCTTGGTCCGTGATGAGGCCGCAGGGAGGCCGTTGTTCCCCGGCCAGTGAGGAATCTGAAAGGAGAGTTCTGGGAACGACAGTGGAGGATGACGAGCTGGTCTCATCATCCTTTAGTTCCTCAGGTTGACTGTTCCAGGAGCCAGTGGAGTGATCGCATTAGGTGGGAAGGAGCCTCGCTTACAAATTTGGTCTTCTCCAGTCCAGTCCTCAAACTCTCCTCCATTCATAAATTGATTCTTCCCTCAACCTTTCTTGAGGATGACGCCTAGGGATAATAAATCGAAGTCCACCTTTCCAACGGGCGCGATTGCTGACAGCGTTGGGTTGTTTTCGCGCCCGGACTCGTCCATGTTACTTCTCCTTTACCGGGATGTTGACGATGCTGTCAGGAGGACATCCGTTCAAGGATGTTGTTTTAATGCCCAAGGCCATACCAGATAGCCGCCCTGTTATTCCTTCGCGATCGAAGATGTCTCGTGGCACAAATATTGGCGTCATTTTAGCAGAATTGGACTCATCTGGGATCGCAAGTTAAAAGAAAAGCGTGCAAATGCCTCCTTCCAAAACATACGAACTACAATGGCGTTCTTCTCTCTATTTGCTACACGCTGAGTGAGACGCCCCAAGCTTCTCTACTTCAATCTGCATTTTATTGATCGTGATACAGTGGGTGGCGGGGTTTGGTGTTGCAATCTATGTTGCATTTTATTTCCCAGTCAACCTGTGGTACATGCCGAGTTCGTCACTACAGGTACGGAGTACCCCGCGTCTGAATCTGACTCCAAGAAGTGTCGGTATTTCCAGAACCACTCGGCAGGGATAAGGTTAAATATGCAGGATACACCTTTGTCCCCTGTTGCTGTTGAATTTGGCTATCGATCCATTCTTATTTTCCTAAGTGCCTTCGTCCCTGGTTGCTTTACATCATTTCATGGATGCTTTTGTTAATGTGGTTTGAAAGAATAGGAAGTCAGCAATTCATCTGGCATGCTACTAAGAACCTTATGATGCCTAACGATCACGGAGATCGCGGAGATCATCCAATTCATCTTCCCATGGGCTGTCCTCTCAGTGCGTTTTGATAAAGTTCAGCAGGGATCCCTGCAGCTTTTCCAGAATAGAATTGACACCAGCTATGATGAAGCCGGAAATTTGATATGTCTCAAATGGCCTGCTGTTTTTGGTGACAATTTGTCATGCCGTTTAAACATTTGTTCAGGCGTGGTGTATTTAGGTCGATTCTAACCGCTCGCAAAGACATGATCCAGCCAGATAGAAGTTAGGACATCAGAACCTCCCTTCAGCTCATCTTCGGAACGATGGATCACATCAAAGTGGCGTCCGAGGCCAGCGGCTCCATTATCTTTTTCATGATATGAAACCGATTTGGTCGTTCACCGATAATATCGATTCCAGGGCGCCTCATATTGATGTCGCATTGTCGCGGCTGTGGTTCGCATTCGTTTGTCAGCACATAGACGGAATATCACATGTCCCAGTTCGAGTCAGCTCGCAGTGGTAATAGTTCGGATACGAAACTTCTCAGTAACCATTCGAGAACCAGCATATCTTTGAGAATCAGCATCTTATGACCTGTGAACCCGTGAATTAGAGTGGACCCAACATAACTCCCGAGACTATTGGCTGAATCAATTTATTCCCTCGTAACAGACGGGGATCCAATTATATAACAATATATTGTAAGGCATGCAGCGATTCGATTGAGGAATGAAACATCAATTGTTTGACAGTGGATATATCATGTGAACAATGTAAATATCCACCGCCTTTGCAGATATTCTGCCATCTCGGTCGTCCGTATCAAAACAAGAGAGAGCAAAAGTTAAAATCAAACTATCACCGATGAGAACTTCCACACCTAGATGGGCTGCTGAATAGCCTTAATCTATTAGAGAAAATGTATACCTGAATCGCTTCGCCCTTAGAAACAAAGCAATGCCTCACATTTCGAAAACAATGTCTTCTTCAGCGGCAGTAACCTCAGCCTCAACTATAACTCCCGACTCCGCCAAACCCTTCCAAGGAACCCCTCCATCCCTCTCACTACCTCCATCCCAATTCGCCAGACTTCAACCGCATTCCTACCTCCTTGCGCACCTTTCACCTTTCTCTCCAGATTCAAGAACCCCACTGCGCGTTAACGGGCGCGTACCGTCCCAATTCCGCCCTGTATCCATCAACACAGGCTCACTCACACATACGAATGCCAGTGCAGTGGTTCGCATTGGAGACACTGTCGCGGTATGTGGTGTGCGCGGTGAAATTCTCTCGACGAATGATATAGCTGCATGGAATGTGTCGTCGTCAGATTCGACCACGCCAAAGCGGAGGAAAGCTGGCGAAATACGAGCAGAGCAACAACTACAACAGAGACAACAACAGAGACAACAACACCAAAACGAACCAGTGGAAGACGAGGACGAAGGTGGTGATGAAGACGACTCCGAAATCCACACCTTCAATCTCCTCGTCCCCAACCTCTCGCTCAACACAGGATGTACCCCCAGCATAACCTCATCTGCCGCCCCTTCAGCCCTCGCCCAATCGCTCTCGCACAAACTTCTCTCCCTCCTCCATATCACCCGCCTAGTCCGGGCCTCCGATCTCCGCATTCTCCGCCACCCACCCGACCTCACAGGTATATTAACCTCCGACAAATCCCAACGAGAACAACCTCAAGAACCAGAACCGGAGAGCGAACCAGAAATAAAAGCCTTCTGGACCCTCTACATCGACGTCCTCATAATCTCGCACGCAGGCAACCTCTTCGACGCGGCATGGGGGGCCATAGTCGCCGCCCTGCGCGACACACGCCTCCCCAAAGCGTGGTGGGATTTGGATAGTGAAATGGTGCTGTGTTCCGACGATGTAGCTGAGGCGCGGCCGCTGAGACTCCGTGGACTGCCGATTGCGAGTTCGTTTGGAGTGTTTGAGGCGGACGAGATGGAGAGGTGGAGGATTCCGATGGCGGTGGGTACGGAGGTGGAGGCCGGGACCGATTCTGGGAAATCGAAAGTGTGTGGGGAGGAGGGTGGTGGTGGTGGTGACGGTGGCAGAAGGCCTCAGAGGTGGATATTGGCTGATTTGGATGGGTTTGAGGAGTCATTGTGTGCGGAGAGGGTATGTGTGGTAGTGGATAAGGAGGCAAAGGGGCGTATGAAAATTCTGAAGTTGGAGAAGAATGGCGGGTTAAGCGTTGGGAGGAGGGAGATGAGGGAGTTGGTTGAGTTGGCAGCCGGGAGATGGGAGGAATGGAAGGACTTGCTTACGGGGCGGTGATTTTGGGTATTCTTATTGTCCCGTACCACTCCTCCATCCAGTCCATGTACTTGCAGAAGAGGATTTAGTAAGTGATTAGATGAATTTATTTAATCGCTTTTTAGCAGTATGTAGCATGGCATGCGCAATTCATAGATCCACTTTCTTTTTTTTTTTTTTTTTTTTTCTCATTTCAGCATTATTTTAAATCCTGAGCTGGCGAGAAGATAAACCATTAGAATGCGCTGAAGAGGAGCCGAACCAAAGCTATGTGCCGACTCAGTGGAAGGCAAAAAAGAAGTGAATATACATGTGTATGACCGTGTCATCTTGCTACACATATATCATCATATCGTTAAGTCTCGCAAATATACATAGCCAAATGTAAACTGTACCTGAATCCCTATACAAATGTTTCATACAAATCACCAAACTCCGATGAAAACTGCAAATTCAAATGGAAACGATATTAAACATACTCAACAATTCTATCATATGTGTATCATAGATACGAATAGGCTCAGCTGCATAACATTCATCATTAACCATACATACTCATAATACCCATACCTTCTACCCGGCCCTCCGCGTCCTCCGCTTCTTCAATACGGGTTCTTCGACATCCGCACTCGTCCCGGCCGCTACAAGGACAGGCGCAGAAGTGGACAATGAAGACTCGCTTTCGTGATCTGAGATATCGAATTCTTCTTCTCCCTCCTCTGTTCCATCTACCCGCTTCGTAGGAAGACTTACTAGCAGATTTATGTCTTCGTCTTCTCGTCGGTCATTGCCATTGGGGGTGGTAATTTTCCTATACTGCCGCTTTGACTTGGGGAAGGAAATGGAAAATAATACTAGGTCTATAGACGTGGAAGTTTCTTGTGCTGCGCGGTTATCAGTCTGGTCCTTATCCTTATCATTGCGATCCAATTTCTTAGATAAGGGCGCCGGGGTTTTGAAGGTATCCTCTTTGTAAAACAGCTTGCGGACGACTCCGAAAGGTGAAGGAAACGTTTCTTTTTCCTTCTCCCTCTCCTTATCGTTATCCTTGTCACCGGTATTATTTCCCCCCATATCAGCATCTTTGTCTTCTTCCTCCTCAATCGCATCGGAGAAATTCCACATCTCTTTGATATCGCCTCTGATGAGGGCAGTTATCCACAGAGATCCAAGCACACCTGGGACAAGATAGAGAAGAGCGGGTTGGGCATGGTTGGATATCTGCATTGCTAACAGCGTAACCAGCATGCCAACTACATACCCGACAAGGCTAGCATGGAAGTATGTCTTGGGAAAGTTCTTCGCTTCGTGGGACGTGAGTCTTCCATCCAGGAGCTGAGGATGAACGATCGGTGAATACCTGGATGCGGATGCGAACCACGTTGTCCAGAAACGCTCGCCCCAACGGCCCGTTGCACTGACATATGGGATCTTGGCAGGTTGCTTCAATAAAGCGGCCTTTGACTTGTAATGAAGGAAAAGATCAAACCGTAGCGCTAAACCGATAACCATGCCCGGGATCACAATATCGCCCAACCCCAGCATAGCCATGCGGCTCAGATCAGGATCCTCCCCCGGCGCTGCAGGGCGCGGGAAAACCAACTTGATTGGTATATCCAGGCTCTGAGCAACCGTAACCATCAGCGGGGTGAAAAAGACGAAATAAATATCATAAAAGAACAAGGCACCAAGAATCAGCGAGGCTGTCCAGAACGTCGTAGGCGACATGAACTGCATGGCTCCGTAGGAGACACTGAAGCCAAAGAAATTGGTTAACCACCACGGCTTCGTCACGAAATTGAAGAAATACACGGCCACGAGCGCAAGGATGGTACTTATGACGTCAAATATCGTGATGCGACTTTTGACTTCGACGATGGCGTGGATGTAGGCGCGTACCGAGGCTTTCTTATATGCGAAGTCGCGTAAGTGCCAGAGGGTATTCAAATATGGGGGGGGCAAAGGAATTTTTCCTAGATAGCCCGGTAAAGGTGACCTGCGATGCTCCTCGTCCTCTACCACTGCTAGAGGTAAGTCGTCATGTCCCACAGGTACAAAAATCCTTCTGCGATGGTTTGCTTTCCACAGAAACCCATCCAGAGCGTAGTGGGATGGGAAAATCAATGATCGGAACAGCGAGAATCCGTCGCGCAGGAATGCAATCGCGAAGACGGTTCCTGCCTGCGTGAAGTAAAAACCTAGGAATTTGTTGAGGATAGCTGGGTCCTTCAGCCAATTGATCAGGAAATATAGACCAGCCAGGGTGAGGCCGGCCATTACGGGAAACATGATGGCGTCAGATGGCTCGAGGCCTTCCATTTTCTTCACGCTGGTTTCCTCCTCTTCATCTTCCTGGTCGCTGTCTTCTTGGATTTCCCCATCAATAGCTGATTCATCATCTCCACGTTTGCGTTTGAGTCTGGTTGGCTTGGCTGCCGAGGCGGGTCGTGTCAAGGACGCATGGGCTCCGATGTAGATGGGGAAGAGCGTGGATAATAGAAGATGGGTGTAGGTCGGTATGAGAGGTTTGCAGATGTCAAGCTCGAGCTGGACTCGGTCCAGTAACTTCATGAGGACGCCGGAAGCGTCCATCTTGTGGAGGGTCTCGAGGGCCTTGCGGGCCTCGCGACGGAGGACACCTGGCAGAGTTACTACTTGGCGGGCCCCTTACAAGATGTGAACACAAGCGTTGGATATCGTTTTCTTGTTTGCCCAGAGGATTGTCAAATAGCATGTATTTCCGGGATCTGACGCGGACTGGCAAAGGGAATATGGGATGGCGTTCTGGGACTGGGAACTGTTGATTTCGTTTTTGTACACTGTTCGTTCGCGAGCTGCGGACAATGGTACACACGAACCAATGTAGTGAGAATTGTTCTTAAGAAGCTTACTTATAATGGGGAGGTTGACATGGTCAAAACCACGCCGAAGGTTATTCCGGCCCGAAAAATTAACCATGTTCAACTTTTTATTCACACATTCAACTGTACGCTCAAAATTATCAGTGCATTCTATTGCTATTGTCAGTTGTTTGCTCTTCCCTCTTATTTCTTTGACTTTCTACTATTTTTGCTTGAATCCGCACATATTTTCTAGCTCTGAAGGGATTTATATTTTGAAATAAGTCCTTCCTCCTCATTAGGAAATAGTATGCACTATATATGTGCAGTGTAGTTTGCTAGATACAGGGATGATAAGTGGGTATCCCCTCGTCGGTAGATTTTGTGCAAATTAGCGTGGTTTCGATAGTGTATATTATACGAGATCTTATTGAGCAGCTAAGGTATCTTTCGATATTAGTGTATTTTATAAACCCTAATTAAGGATTCGCACTGTCACTGTCAGATTGATGAAATTCCTCCCAACATTGAGTTTTCAAACAGAGAGATGTATTTTGACAAGCTGAGCAATCAAAACTTGATTGATCTGCTCTTAATCATTTCTGCTGTTCTATCTTTCATTTATACTGACACCAGGCACAAATTAGGCATTTTGATAGTGAAATTCATTGATGATTTAAATCTTTATTTGATTGTTTGATAGAGAGATTATCATGAATCTTAGATGCAAATTCAAAGAGCTGTTGATAAAGCTTCTCATGAAAGCTTATATGAGAAAGCAGATCCTTCTTAGGGACTCTCTGCTGCTTTTTATATAAATAGTAAAGCTGGTAGACATTAACTGCTGCAGAGTCAATAAGTCAGTAGAAAATAAAGAGCCAGGTCTGATAGATAATTCTATGGCTAGTATATGCTGCACAGTACTGATTTGCTAGGTTCACTCCATTCATATAATGATTGTAGTCATCTATCATGACTGGGATTTTCAGCTTCTTCTGTGGCTGACCTTCAAAATCTTTTATATATATGACATGATGAGAGCTCTCCAGGCCGCTTCGATACGTTCAATAAAAATGTTCGAGTGAATGAATGGTGCTTAGTGCTAATATCATATTATTATCTTGCCATGCAAGACAGAGAACCTTCTTTTGTTCAATAGCATATAGAGTATTTCATGAAATAAGTGCTGTATAATCTCTAAGCTCTGTGAAAACTGCCGGAGTCCGATTTGAATGAATAATTCCACATACATCATATCTCTTTTCATGTAGAAATTTGAATAGTGCAATAGATGAAAAATAATTATTTAGATAAAGTGACTAAAAAATTACCTGCTGAGTGATAGAGAATTCAATGATCAGTTTTATAAATGACTTTGTAGACAGCTCTGTGAGTGGCTCTGTGAGCGGCTCTGTGGGCAGCTCTGTGGACAGCTTCATGAACGGCTTTATGAGCGGCTCTGTGGCCGGTATAGAGATAGTGGAAAGCTGTTGAAGAAGATTCATCATCATAGATCCCATCTTTGTTAATTCTGAGAATTGAAACATAGACATTATACTTTGTTGATGGCTTGATCAGAAAAAAAACCATAAATAACTATGTTCTGTTAGATCAAATATCTTATATTTTCAAGGAATTGATTTAAAAAGCATTTTGTAGATGTGTTGACTCCATTTAAAACATTTAATCATTATTTCATTTATTGAAATTTTAGAGTCAGAGGTGTAGTATTTTCAGCATGCTGTATGGAATTCAGTAGCTAACAGCTCTATCTTATATCATCAATTTTTATTTTAAATCTTAAATCAGCAGGCTTCACAGAGGTTTCATATATGAATATATCATTTAAACTGTTGAAATCATGTATGACTTATATAAAATTGAATGGAATAAATAGAGCTCTATTTCAAATCATTTCATCAGTATAAATCAGTCTGTTGAGATTTATAAACTCTTATATAGAGAAAAAGATTTATAAAAACCTTTATCTCTGCTAAATTAATCTTTTTCCATTCTCATGACTGAATAATAAAAGTAGAAGTAAAAGATGTTTTCATTATTATTTTCATTATTTTTATCTTCATTTCCACATCAGAGAGCTCTGAAGCTTTATTATCAATATCTTCATTCTCTTTCTTTAATTTTGTATAGAGATTTGTTAAATTGCTAATCTGTTGAAAGCATTTCTTATTGAAAAACAAGGTAAACAGAATGTAGAGACTCTCAATATTAATATCTATAGAAAGATTGAAAACTGAGTCTCATGAAGTAAGTTGTATAGAAAAGAATTTAATTGATTTTAATGATGAAATCTTAGCAATGACTTTCTCAATAAATTTCTTTCATTTTTTAGATGTTTTTATATGAGTTGGAGAATCAATTAGTTATTTAGATCATAAGGATTGATTAATATAAGAAAATTACCTTTTAATTTAGCAGGTGTTTCAGCGGATTCCATGTTCGCAGGTGGATATCATGAAGAGAGGCCTGTAGGAAGGCCTGCAAGTAGCATTTCATTGTGTTGAATTTCATACATGATTTGAATGCTTGGCTGAGAAACACGCATCAGTGGATTTCAATAGCCAATAGCTGCTCATATAAAATTCTATGGGATTCTATTGGCCATGCCAAGGCGCCGGTGCAAATTTCCATACGACTAATTGAAACCACGCTAATTTGCACAAAACCTACCGATGAAGGGATACCTTGCCGGCGGCTAGACCAGAAAAAAGTCCATAAATAGCCATGTTCTGCTAGGCCAAATATCTTATATCTCTGAGGAATTGGTTTATTAGGCATCTTGTATGTATGTTGACTCCGTCTAAAGCATTTAACCATGATCTCATCAATAGAAATCTTGGAGCCAGAGGTGTAGTATTTTCAGCATGTCATATGGAACTCAGTAGCCAACAGCTCTACCTTATACCACCAATCATTCTTATTTTTGGCCCCCGGGCGGCGGGCTTCACGGGGGTTAAATATATAGATATATCATTTAAGCTGTTTAAAATGTGTATGGGTCATATAGGATTGAACAGAATGAATAGAGCTCTGTTTCAGATCATTCTATCAGTATAGATCAGTTTGATGGAATTTATGAACCCTCATATAGAGAAAAATATCTATAAATACCTTTATCTCTGCTGGATTGATATTTTTCCATGAATATTGTTGGATAGAAGGCTTTAAGAATATAGAAATTTCAGAAATCTCTATATTTTAAACTTCCTCATTCTTCTCTATTTCTGAAAGCTCTGGAGTTTCATCATCAGTATCTCTAGCATCTTTCTTTAGTTTTGCATAGAGATTAGTAGAATCACTGATATTTTAAAGGCTTTCCTCAGAGAAGAATAGAGTAAATAAAACATAAGAACTGTTAATATTGATATTCATTGAAATATTAAGAATTGAATCTCATGAGACAGGTAGTATTGAATGGAATTTCACTGATTTTAGAGGTGGAAGTTCTGCAATAACCTCTTCAATAGGCTGTTTTCATTTTCTTGACATTTTTGTATGAACTAGAGAATAAATTAGTTAGCTAGGTCATTTGAATTGATTAATATAACAAAATTACCATTGAATTTAGTAGGTTTCTCAGTGGATTCCACATTCACAGGTTGAGGGGGTTTCATATTCGCGAGAGGGGGGTGGGGGGGGTGTTCCATATATTCCTGAGTAGGGGTTCTTTATATTCGCGGATAGGGGGTTCAAACATGTTGGATTCTCAATGCGTTGTTGAGATCTACATGGGATTGTTCATCAGTAGATCTGAATGACCAATTATCAATCAACAGAAGATTCTTATTGAACGTCTTTTTCATCTCATCTGCTCTACGGGTCGCGATCTTGCGATTGGCATCCTTAATAGTGAGGACTCCGCCTACTTGCACCTGCCTGCGGGAGGATTTGACGACCCGACGTCTATTTGCTCAATAATGACCTGCAAATTCACCCTCACGGTGCGCGTTCAATTCCGCCTGGACCATGCTACCCTTGAAGATCTTGTCCAACCGCCTTGTCAAACCAGGTGTAAGGGTATCCTTCACATCTTGTAAGGCCTTGGCTGCTGCATCGATTTGGCGACGTAGTTTTGCAACTGTCTCTGGGGAGGTTAATTGCGAAGAGGCAGTTGACGGTCGATCTGCAGGCGGCGGGGTAAAGTGATTGCATACATCACCATCGCCATCGTATATGTTGAGATCCGGGGCATCATCAATGGTAAGAGGTCTCAATCGATTGAGAATTATATCGCGATTAACTGGATACATTCCGCGGTCGGCAAAGCCAGCTCTCACAGTGCCAGGTTTGAATGCTTGCAGTCGGACGCTCTCCAGATTAGCAAGGAATTGTCTGCCACCATACTGCTCATATCCGTAGCGGGCGGCCTCATTAACTGCCTTTGTATGATAATGCTTATACTGCTGAAAAGGTACGCCATCAAGAGGTTGTAGAATATGACTTGTATGAGATGGGAATCTGAATAGAATAATCTTATGGAGGTCGCAGTATTGGATGAATTCTTCTGTGAGATGAGAACCATGATTGTCCATTAATAGCAGTCAATGACTGCCCATTTGACACTTTTTTGTCATCTTATTGAACCGCTTGATCCATTCAAATCCAATCTCATCATTTGTAAAGTCAGACTCGGATGCGGTGATGGTGTAGTTGTCAGGTAAGTTGGAGTGTGTATACCAATCCTCTAGATGGACCTTCAATTTCATTATAATCAATGGATCCAATACTGTGCCATCTGCACTGACACACTCCACCACTGTTATTAACCCGCGGGAGTATGATGACTGTATGACGGAATTTGTGTCTCTAAAGGCGGTTATAACCCACTGTCCACGTCCTTCTCCTTCTTGAAATCCAATCTCATCAAAGTTGTAGATATCGCAGGGGAAAAAGTGATATTGATTGAAGACAGCTTCATATCGATCAAACCAGTTGATAATGAAGCTTATATCCTCACAAGACATCTGTTTTGGATTCATGGGCTTTTGCTTGACCCGTTCATAATCTGGCAGGCGTTTGATGAATTGATATGCCTATATCTTGCTTACTGTGGGAGGTGCGGTCTCTGGATCTGTATGATGCTGTCTCAACATGCGGTTCGCGGCGGCTTCGATATGCTCGATGGTGGGCGGGCAAAAATTAATATCCAACTGATGAATCCATATCTTAATTGCCTCCTCCTGGCTGTCATTCAATGCTCTATTCAGTGGAACCCTCATAGTCCTTGATTTCTTCCCGTTGATCCTCCCATACAAGGTGGCATATGGGACTTTGAATTCTCGCGACAGAGATGTGATTTTTAATTTTGAATTGCTTTTGTACGCGTCAACAGCTCTTTGCAACTGCTCCTCAGTGTAATTAGAAGATTTAAGCATGGTTATAATTAATGATGATTATTTGAAGATGAAGAATGAAGATATTGATAATATTTTCCGTACGCTGTGGTTTTCCGTACGCTGTGGCGCACTCACTAGAGAGAGTGAGTAAGCATGGCACGGTTAGTTAGTTACACTAGTTATCGTGTCGTCTTCCAAGACACGGCGGGTGGCGTACATTAATCCTAAACGGGAATAGTTGACCTTCCTCAAAATACGATTTTTCTATCCGTTCCCACATTCGCGTTGTGCATCAAAGCCAAGCTGGATCAACCCTTTGACCATAATCTTCCCTTTGATTATATATATCAGCATCTTTTCCTAGCGAGTTATATTCTCTTGCAGAGTATCATAGATCATAACTTCCTAACAATTCTGCATTTTTGTTCCCCTGTTTGCTTCTCATCACATAATATTAGCATACCAACATAATTTTTCTCCCTTTACAACTCCTAGTTAATCTCACACCAACTCAACGGTCTTTTATACCATCAAAATGGCGGGGCTTTCACAAGAAGATCGCAACATTATCAAGAACCATCCTCTAACCAACTTAGTTGACCGTTTACAAGACACGCTTCAGGAAGTTGAAAGAATATATGAGTCGCGTCTAATTTCCTACAATGGCGCCGTTGATAGCCTTGACCAACTGTTTCAAAATGTGATTTCAAAACTTGTCTATACATTACAGGGAGAGGGTGCAGCCTACAGCCTTCCGTCGCGGATAAATGATGGAAATATGGCGTCTGATCTAGCACAATTATTCGAGCGCCTTCAAAAGGCAAAAGGAAGCTTCAGGTACGACGACTATCATCCACTGGTGCACCTGATTATTCAAAGACCTTCCACTGAATCCCAGAATGCCGAACCCTGGAACTTCGATGTCTGGAAAGCTGTATTTACCCTCATTGACACCCTCCCTCAACGAACAACTCCTCCGGCGAGCGTCCCCCCATCCTTTGACGGCACCCCAGTCAAATCCACCTCATCATCACAGAAAGGTTCCGAGCAGACACTTGAGTTGGTGAATCCAAGAATCTTTGAGGAGATACATGGCTGCACATTTCGAAATGTTGAGGGCTTCTTTGAGAAATATTTTGAGGAGAAGAACTGGAGCTGCAAAGCAGATGCCATCTGTCGACGCGTGCTGGCTCCAATCAGCGATGGTAATTGGGCCCAGTTTCCCGATCCTCCTACACAGAACAATGTCCTCACCTGGTGGTTTCGTCTTCAAGAAGACCTTCTCTCGGAATCACGCAGCATCTACTACACCACAGCGAGCAAAGCGGATCTTACTGGTTCAAAGGCAGAACGGCAAGTCGACCTTCTTTTGCGAGCTAGAGGTGGTACCCCCTCGCGAAACAAACACGACTGGAGAGACATTCTGGTAGTTGGCGAGCTCAAAAAATCCATGGAGGAGATCAAGACCAAGGACACTCTGCTTCAGATGAGCTGCTACGTGCGCGAGGTCTTTACCGCCCAGCCCACCCGGCGGTTCATCCACGCGTTCGCCGTCTGCGGGACCAAGATGGAGGCATGGGTGTTTGACCGTTCGGGTCCCTATAGCTCCGGCGTCATCGATGTCTACGAGGACTCAAGACGGTTCTTTCAGGTGCTTGTTGGCTACACCATGATGAGTGATGAGGAACTAGGACTGGATAGTTTTATTGCTAGGGATGAAGACGGCAACAAATCAATAACCATCAAAGGGCCTGGAACCTTAGATGGAAAAGTGCTGCGGCTGGGTGAAATACTTTCCTTTCAACATGCCATTGTGTGTCGCGGGACCACGTGTTTTCTCACAAATGATGGACAAGGTGTAGCTAAATTCTCGTGGGTGTCGGACAAGCGGCGGCCGGAGGTGGAACTCCTCGAGCTAGCATGTCAAAAGAATGTCCAAGGAGTCGCAAGGATCATCGGTCACTGTACCATCACCAGCATCGCTGACATGCGCTGCGGCCTGACGTTCGACAAGCGCCACCACTTCAAAAGTGCACCCCCCAGTGCAGCCTCCTCGTTTCATCAATCTCAGCCGCTCATCGAGCCGCGCCGCTTAGATATCCGTCGAAAGTCATCTTCCAGGAAACGCAGATCCCTGGATAAGGGGATGCAGGCATTCAAACGATCGCGTTCCACCAATCAGCCATCAAGAGACACCCAGGAGGAAAATGAACTAGCTTTCTCCATTCAGTCAGCGCACAAACCGAGTCTCTTCGACAAGAATGGTGAGGAACCGTACGACAACCGTGTCCTCCGGTGTCTCGTGATCTCGCCCGCTGGCCGGCCGATCTATGACTACAGGTCACCGTTGGAGCTTCTCACAGCGCTGCGCGATGCAATAAAGGCGCACCGGTCTCTTTACCTGGATGGGAACATCCTTCATCGGGATATTTCGGAGAACAATATAATAATAACCGATCCAGGCAAGGCGGACGGTCACTCGGGCATGCTAATCGATTTGGATCTTGCCAAAGAGGTTGGGAGTGGGAGAAGTGGCGCGCGGCACCAGACTGGCACGATGGAATTCATGGCGATTGAGGTGCTACTTAATATCGATCATACCTATCGGCATGATCTCGAGTCGTTCTTCTATGTGCTTATCTGGCAATGTGCCCGTCATGGTTGGGAAAAATTAAATGAGCTACAGGGACACGGACAGGACCCGCCCAAAGACAGCATGCTGAGAGAATGGTATACTGGAACTTATAAGAAAATTGCAACTTATAAAAGAGGTAACATGGAAGCTGGCGGATTTGAGTATCTTTTGCAGGAGTTTCCGCCGGATTTCGAGTGCGTCAAGCATCTTTGCAGGACCATACGAGGTGTACTGTTTCCTTATGGGAAGGAAGGACTTATTGTTGGAACGCCGCAAGTCCCACAGAGACTATATGATCCTATCATTAAGGCGTATGACGATACAATAGCTCTGATTGAAACTGAATAGGATTAATGATTGCTCTGTTCTGGCAAATAAGTATCATTTATAGAAGCTCAATGCATATGTATATTTGGAGAACAGGGGCTGAAGCCTGGTTCTGTTAGCGAAAACTACCACATACGGAGGACATGTACCGTTGGCATGATCTCAAAACTAGAGGATTTTACAGGTGCTCCCTGCAAGCTGGCAACGGTGCTCCGCTGAACTGTGGTTCGGACGATGATTGTCATGTGCATTGTTCTACTTCTACGTCAGTGACTTCCCAGCAACGACAAGTAAAAGAAGGCTGCCAATGTACGCTGCACAGGTTGGTTCAAACTCAAACTGAAAGACTCATATGGCAAAGGAATTATCTGTCAACCAACTTATTATAGTAAGCACGCCCTTCGCATGGAATGATGGGAGCAAATCTCCTCCCTGCGTGTAATGCAAGAATCCGAGTGCGAACTAACGTGGATGAGCAGTCCGTATCCAGGAAGGCGACGAGTGAGCGGTGAAGCATCTCTTATATTCAAAATTATTGAGGTGCAAAGTTTGGACTTAATTAGTATCAAGGTAGTGATCCCTTGTGTGAAGATGGCACGGACTCAAGCTGGGTTTGTAAATCGCACTCGCGCTTCAAGATCAACGCAAGTTTCCCTGTGCCGTCGACACAACCTGGCATCCCTGGCTGGTCTTTTCTGAGGCATCCCACATATACTGCAACACCAGTGGCAATCGCTGTCCTCATTGGGCAAAGGAAAATCCGAAAAGACTCATTTTCGGGCTCAATATCACTCTTGCCGGGAGTCTAGGCCATCACGGCGCAGCTGTGGCGAGGAGAAACCGAGAAACCGAGTAATGTTGGCGATGCTTAGAGGCCAAAGCAACTAACGCAACATTGTCCCAGACCGAGGGTTGATGTGAAAGTGGCCATCCGAATCATTAAGTTCCCATTGTGTTCTCCTGGAGGATCAGAATGGTTGGCTCAGAACTCTCGAGCTGAATGATCCCTGGAATCCGGCTTAGCGCAGCGCGGGGAATGGCGCTTCAGCTGCCAGTGCTCTGGGAAAGTATGTGGTGACCATCCAAGGCTCCCAAATCGGGAAAATTTGTCCCCGTCTTCCATGCGAATGATAGCCAGCCTCAGTTTTCTTATCATCAATGAAATAAGTGTCATGATGAATGGCGTGATGGTTGTGATGGAACCAATCGAATATGACTGATGTTGCATTATAATAAGTGGATCAGCAGAGTGATGTTGAGCCCGAAAATGAATCTTTTTGGATTTTCTTTTGCCCAATGAGAACAGCAGTGGATTGCTGCTGATGTACCATCACAAGACTATCTATGTGCAGTGTGGGATGCCTTGAAAAAGATCAAGAGTATGGTTAAGTTCATCTGCCGACAGAAAAACACATAGCTAATTATGGCAACACCACCCTTTTTGCTTCTTCGGAGCGAAGATTTACATAACTTTCCAAAATGAGAAAAGATAGGTAATCGAGGGCGATGCAAATATCTCTTGTGTTGTCCTACTCATCATCTAAACTGTTTGTGTACTCAATTGTATCTTCGCCAGACCATGAAGCGAAGAATATCATATGAGATCTGGAGATATTTGTGCTCGAGTCTTTATATCCTTCATTCTGAAGCTATAAGACTAGAGTAAGAAGCATCCAGCTGCATGACAAGCTTCCCAGCAAAGAAGACAAGACGGGGAGCAGAAATGAAACCTGGAAGGATGGCACGGACTCAGGCTGGACAGGTATATCGGACTCACTCTCCCAGGATCGATGCAAGTTTCCTCGTGCCCTCCATCTGGCACCCCTGGCTGAACTTTGCATAATTGCAATATATATTTTCTACATCTTGGAATACCAACAACACTATCCTTCTGCAATAGCGCGGGCCGAGAAAGTTGTAAAGAGCAGATGAGCAGTTCAATAAATACATTCTATAGAGTACATCTTGAAATGGATGTATGTCACCTGGCTTGAAAGCTGATAGCAAGATGGGCCGCGGGTCCGGGTCTCTATATCTGATAGCGGGTCATGTACCATCGCCTAAGTACTATCGGATCATTCTACCATGAAAATGCGGCTTGTTCCCCGTCCCGTTTGATCCGTTCGTTAAGGGTCATAACTCTTGATAGTATCTGCCCCGTCTTTCCAGGGTCACTTCTAAAACTAACGTCCAATCATTCCAGCGTAAGTTGTAATCCAAAACTAGCGGAGGGCCTCCTTGGCAATCATGTGATCAAGCTGGGGAAATGTGTGGGACGTCTAAGTGGTTGTATTAGCATGTCGGCAGCTGAGATATACTAGTCCGTCTAGGGCCAACACCTCCCCTCGGACTAGCAGCCGTACAGATATCTATCTATCTAGAAATCCTATTATACATGAAATCAAATCAAATCAAATCAAATGAAATCAAATTTATCTATCCTTCTATCCTTCACCCTTTCGGCATCTGTGAGGCTTCGGTTCGTGGTAGTAGTATCGATGTTTGAAAAGTTGTTCAGTGACAGAGGCAGTGGTGGTGTCAGTGGTATTCTTAATGATGAATCTCATCATGATCATCTTCGTGGTATCTTCTTCAGTAGATGGAGGAGTAATGACAGTGACTTGTGTAGCCAGTTTCATCTCATCCTCCCCTTGTTTCATATCCTCTTGATCTCTTGACAGAGAATCAGAGTTTTCAGCTGATTTTTGTAAGGATTTTCCCATCCTTCTGTCCCAATATTCATTCATTCTCTTCAGACATTCATTTTGCTTTTTCAGATATTCATCTTACTTTTTCAAATATTCCATCATCATCTGTATCAAGGTATCGGTCATTGATGTTGGCCCGGTGGCTCAGTGATAGGTTCGTATTCATCATTGCTAGCTGGGGTATCCATCCCCATGATAGCTTGAGTTCTAAAAGGCATTCTTCCCTCTATATCAATCAATTTTTAATCTTTTTCCCATGATCAAAGCTCTTCTAGCCTTCGTCAGAATCCCTTCTGCTGATCAGCGTAGCAGCTCGCGAGATGTTAGATAGACCCAGATAGGCAGTGGAAGGTTCTTAAAAAAAAAAAACAAGCAATCCGGGTCATAACCTGTGGGACGTCTAAGTGGTTGTATTAGCATGTCGGCAGCTGAGGTATATATGTGCGGTGCGCTAGTCCGTGATAGGCAGCCTAGGGCCAACAAAATGAGGTTGTTGCTTATCTCAGTAAAACTCAACCACTCCACTTCAAGCTAACCCGATCCGAACTACTGCCAAGTCGTGCTAACATATGAGCCAATCAACTGTCGAGGGGCTTACACTAAATCTAAATGGGACATCCTCAGCAAACTCTTCATAGAGTGTCTGAGAAAAAATGGTTTCAGTTTGTTAGCAACATAGAAATGATTTGCTTCAACCATAACATTTGAAATAGAATCACTGTACAACTTCATTTATAAATCATTTTTCTACTATTTTGAAGGATTAATTTTTCAATTTTCTATCAATTGAATTAATTTTTATTAAAAATATATATATTATGAATATGAAGTATTGTGTTGAAAACTATTATTCTGATTTTGAATATGGGAATGATTTGTTAATTTTTCAATCATGATCATATCTAATCACTCAATGTCTTGATTTTATCATCAAAATATATATTCAATCATCAATAATTTTAATCAAAGCATTGAATGTATTTTTTGATAACTTTTAACATTTTTTGATGATGTTCAACAATTTCTAATAACTTTTATCAATTTTATATAATTTTTAATCATGTCACACAGCACATCAATTTCTGACAACATTTGAAATCTTTTAATAATTTTTGAAATTTTTCAACAATTTCTAAATCAATCATATAATATCTCTTTTTAACAGCTGAGTCAGACAACTTTGTTGTATATGACTAAGAAAAATCAAAGAAAACATAAAAATCAGCAACAACAACAGTTTTAAAAACTATTATTAAAATAAATACTTTTTATAAAAATTGGAGATATGCTACAAATTGTTATGAGCTACACTGAATTTGAAAGTATTGATAAACAATAGAATGTTATTGAACATTATCTTTGACAAATTTTTCAAAACTCACATTCAGATTTTAAATACACTTTTCAATCATATATAGAATAAATTCATATACTTTGACATATAATATATGAATATAATAACACTTTATTCATTATTAGAATTAATTATAAAAAGAATTTTATTCTTCAATTCTATACAATTTTAATAGAAAAGATAATCATTCAATTGATTTCTTTAAACAAATTTGATGATCAGTAAATAAATGATATAATTCAATTTTCTTCTATCAATTCTTATCTGATAAATATTAACAATCTTCAAGAAGAAGAGCACTTACTCAAATGTATTCAACAATGTGAATATACATATATTTTACTCAATTCAAAGCAAGTATTTTCCAAGCAGTTTCAGTGTATTCTTCAAAATCTGATTTTATAAAAAAAGATTGAATTTGTAGCTATTAATGAATGTCATTTAATCACATAGTGAAGTGAATTCAGTGGTCAATTTGTCAAATTAAAGCATTTGAAATTGCTTTTATATAAAAACATTGTCTGATTTGACTGTTCTGCAACTCTCAGCAATAAAAATAAAGATATTATTCTAAAGAACATATCAGAAAAAAAATAGAGATTATCAATTTTTATTAAAAATTTAAAAAATTACATAGAAATATTAATAAATTAAAAATATCAACTTATATTTTTTTCCATTTAACAATTTCTGTTATCAATTAATTTCTCATTATATAATTGAAACAGAGTTTAAAGTTGAAAATTGTTTTTATCACTTATCATTTTATTTCTAAATTATGAAAATATACAAAGAGAATAGAGCTGAAGAAGTTTGAATTTTTCAAAAAATAAAAATAATATATAATATTCATAATAATAAATCTGAATTGGGAGTCAAATTTTGATTGGAATGAAATAAATTCATCTGATAATTCAACATCTGTGCAAAGAAAGAAGATACCATCTCAGTTATTTAGAATTTGCTCCATAATTAAAGACAGTTTCTCTAGTTTAAATGTGGAGAAAGTGGCCTTTGAAAATCTCTCTCCTTGGAAGAAAGATCTTGTCAGTCTTATTGATTTAAATATTAGTCAACTTTCAAAAGAAGTTCAGACTGAACAACATCTAAATTTTCTAAAACAAATGAGAAACAAAGCAATTCTTATATACACTGATGGCTTAAAATGTGAGAAAACAGGCAATCTTGGAGCTGGAATAGCATATTCAGAAAATGATAAAAATTATATTCTTGATTCTTGGCAAATTGGAAAAGAGTCAGAAGATTTTAATGCTGAATTATTTGCAATTTCAAGAGCTTTCAAATTGGTTGAGATGAAGATTGAATAATGGAAAAGATTTGAGCATATTTGGATATTCTCTGATAGTCAAGCTGGGCTTAAAAGACTTCAAAGTAAGAAAATCAGCAGTGGACAGTCAATGCTAGAGCTGATTTTAAAAAGTCTTCAAAATATTCAAAGAAAAATCTCACTCAATTGTTCTATTCATCTTCACTGGGTGCTTGCTCACATGGGTATATATGGCAATGAAATAGCTGATAAAGCTGCAAAAAAAGCAACTGAATTGGAAATCTGCTTTCAAAGAATTGTAACATGGGCTTATATTAAGAGAAAAATAAGAGAATCATATTTGCAAAAATGGCAAGATATTTGGTTTTTACAAAAAAAGAGTGTACATTATTCCAGGTTTGAAACTAAGCTAAAATGGAAAGCTTGCTCAATAAAATGTAAAAAGAAACTTTTTGTTACAATAATGTAGTTAAAGCTTGGACATGGTTATTTTAAATCATATTTAACAAAGATTAGAAATGATTTAAGTAATTTATATTCAGATTGTCAATTATATGAAAACTCAGAGCATCTTCGTTTACTTTGTACAAAGCATATAGAGTTAAGATTGAGATTGAGAGAGAAGTTTAAATTGACACAGTTAAATTTAAAACTTTTATTCAATACAAAAACTGGAAATGAATTCTTGATTGAATATTTGAAAGAATCAAATATTATTACAAGATTTTAATTAAATAGTTTGATTTGATAATGAATTCAATTTTTGTTTTTCTTTTTTTTTTCTTTTGTTTCTATATATTTGCTTTAATTTTTGTTCTTGTTTTTATTTTTATTTTGTTACTTTTACTTTGAAATTTATTTCATTTTAATTACTTTTGATTTTGACTTGTTTTGAAAAGTTTGATTTCTATAATTCATACAATTTCATTGTTGATCGCTTTCAAATATATAGTGATCAGTTAAAATCTGATGAGTTTAAAGATTGAATTTTCAATTATTTACACTCTATTCTTCTTTAGAAACTTTATTCACTTTAAAAATTTTATGATTTTTTTGCTATCTTCTGAATCAAAATCTGAGCTTCAGAAGCAGTTAATGATTTCTGAATTGAGATATTCAATTATTTAAATTCTCATAACAATTGAAACATCTTCACACTTCTGAAGTTGTTCAATCACTGAAATGAGCAAGAATGGAACTTTAAAGAGGAAGAGATAGAAGTGAATATTCTAGAATGAATGATTTATATCAATATTAAATAAGATTTATATGACAATGAATTTTTTATGAAATGATTAGAGAATAGTGATTTTTTCTGTTTAATGAGTTCTTTTATTCTGATTAATTCTGCAGAGTTTATATGTTTATTATTTTTTTTCTTATGAAGCTCTGTTCTTTTTTCTAAAGTCTTGCTTATTTGTTTGTTTTTCTTTACTTTTCTCTTTTAAAAGAAGGGTTCTCAAAAATTTTTCTTTTGTTTTTTTTTTTGTTATTGAAGGGGAAGAGGGAATGCTCAAAGATTATAATTAGCAGCATCAAAAAATAGCAATAAGATCATTCAATTTTGTTCTTAATTCTTAATCATTCTACTCTAAGCTAATATCCTTGGGATCTGTGGAGCTCTGAGGGATTACGTAAAGATCCCTCACCCTGCCGTGTGGCTTGCTGTTTCTAGCTGTAGTACCCCCTAACACTTCGCGATATCACATGATATTGTGATCATAAAATCGTCTACTCCGTACTCCGTACATCTATCTGTACAAGATATATAAGAGCAGATGCAGCTTCAAATCCTACTTTCTTCAAAACTCAGTGACAATTTTTTTTTTTGTCGCTATAATGTTTCAGAGCATGTCTAGCTCAATTAAGAGCTCAATTAACGCGTTCAATATCTATGGTGTCTATGGCCTGCCTATGTTTCTTGTCAATAAGAGGTTGACTAAGAATCCTTATACCAGACAAGGCCCCAACTCCGCCCACCCCTCAAACCCCTTGCTTTCCACATCCCCTGTATCCTTTGGAATACTGGAAGACTTTCGCAACCACAAAACGCGAAACATACATATATTTGATGAGTCTTGAGACTGTAAAGTCGGATGTTGACGATCGTCGGTCTTCCATTAAGGATGCGCACTACTGGAGATGCGAGGCCATGTTCTGGTTGTCAAAATCGCGATACAAGGAGGGAAGGCGCCGGAAAATTTCGGATCCAAGTTATTGGAGATGCGAGGCTGATTTTTGGAGAGACAATTGTACATGTACTTTGGAGGAAGATCAAGCCAATCGCATGAATATACAAGATCCCGAATATTGGAAATGCGAAAGCAGGTTTTGGAAATCTACTTGCCGAAAAGTCCACGAGGATGCCCGTTACGACGACATCGACGACCCAAAATATTGGGAGTGCGAGAATATGTTGTATGAGGAGCTTTTGCTACCCATCATCTATCCTGACTTTCAAAAGCCAAGTTATCACCAAGTCCTGTTGCGGGCCACTGGCGGGACGTATTTCTTCGACTTCGGCGACGACTCATCGAAAACCCCGCCTCGCAGAAGCGCTCGACTTGTGAAATTGCATCAAAAAGTTGCAGCGAAGGATGCTGCACCGCAATGTGCAACGACTGTCCCAACCGACGAAGGTCGTACGAAGAAAAGGAAAAGAGACCAAGAGACTGCCACAACCAACAAGAAGAGAAAATCTTCTAATTGATTGGTGGACTATCATGGCGAGCCTGACTGTGCTAATGCAAGGCTTGCTGGGTTTAGATGACATTTTTGTCATGGGCCACCACCCCTTCCTATTCCAAAATAAAACGGAGCCGCATTATCATCCGCCTTATCTCTCCTCATAGTCTGCCTATATAAATTAGGTGTCTCCCTTCCTTTCTTTTCCATAGCTTCCAATGCAATTATCCTTTGTTTCACCTCAAACATGGCAGTTGACCCTGGAATGGGTGATAGGTTTCCTCAGGCCGTTATCACGGTCAGCTCACATGGCGCTGGAACTTCCACACAACAGGAACCGTGTCATAAGTATCACTCCCGCGCTAGAAACCCAAGATTTACGGGAAAGACAACGGAGATCTGTCAATTCGGAAACCACAGCACCACAGCTAGGCCAGGAAACTCTAGCGCCACAGCTCGTCCTATCACTTTTGGACGAACACAAACCGATTGATCCACTTCAGGGATTTGTTTTTGGAAATGACAAAGACCGTTGCGATGTTCTCCTTGATGGGCGGTCTGAAGGTGTCAGTGGTGTTCATTTCCGTATAAGTCTCAACTGGGAGTCGGGAGCACTACTTATCACGGATACATCCTCATTTGGCACGAATTTGACCTCCAGTATTGACGGACTCCAAAACATTCAACTTCAGCAAGACAAAATTCCGATTTTTTCCGGGAATACTATACAAGCAGGAGTAGCCATGTTTAAGATAATAATACCAGAACGAGGAAATAATGGTTTGGTTTTCAACCAGAATCGGCTGCGCTATTACAATAAGTGGAAAAGCCAGACTCCACAAATCGAGACACTTTTGATTAGCCAGAAAACCCTGACATATTTGGACCTTGGCAAGATTTCTACATTTGAGGTTTTCGGAAGTGGAACATGTGGAACGGTCCACAAGGCGGTTGATGCCATCGGAAACATCTACGCGGTGAAGATGCCCAAGACGTTGAGTGATCCGGCCGAGAACAGTAAGGTGATGGAGAGATTTGAAAGGGAGACAAAAGTGCCTTAACAGTGAATATCTGGAATCTTACTAATATCTCCCTAGGAGCACATTGTGTCCGTAATCAAGGACATGGATATTCCGGGCCGTCGAGGTTCTCTCCTAGTGATGGAGTATATTAGCAATGGAACTCTTGAACAACTTGAAAACCTCACTCCTCAAGATGTCGCGTTGTTGGCCTCTCAGGTTCTTGATGCCGTGCTATACCTTCACACTAATGGCTATGCTCATCGTGATATCAAACCCGCAAATATCCTCGTCAAATCCATGGAGCCTTTTTCTTTCGTACTCTCTGATTTTGAGCTTACGTCGCGGGATCCTTTACAGACATTTTTGCGGTTCCAATATGTATGCCGCCCCTGAAATCTATAACCATCAACCGTATACAGCTATGGTGGACATCTGGGCAATTGGTATAGTCATTCTCAAGTACACTGCTGGGCTTCCAGCACCTCCAATGCCGTGGGACAACGATCAGTGGTTTTAAGTCACTTTCTGCGTTCACTCCAAAAATTGAGCCGTGCTGGAAAACCTTACGAGACTTCGCAAATACTCTGCTAGAACCAGACCCAGACAAACGTCCGATAACTCAAGTCTACTTGACCGAGATCAACAAGATCCGTAGAGGCGAAGCGACTAATGTTTCATTTCGCGATAGAAAGCGTAATATGCCTTCTACTCCAGCCCCGTACGATCCCAAAGTTATCACTGCAGACGACCTCAAGAGCTGGGTCCAATACGATCAAAGCAAAGACCCTCCCAGGGCGATAAATTTGACCAGAATATGTTGGGCCCTTTGCCTATCAAGAGACGCCATGAGGTCCTACTTGAAGAATGAAGGGCACACATCCTACGTTATGCCTACAACTCCGAGGAAGAAACTTCTTAGAGGCACCTACGTTAACATATCCTGTGCTCTAGCGTTTATAAGAAGCTCTCGTCCGGACCTTAAGAATCTCATTACTAACCTCCAACAACTCGACTCTTCAAGCGAAATGCCAGAAACACCAGAGCCGCCGATATCAATTGCCTCAGATAATACTTTTACCCCTCTGTCTCGCCCGCGAACCCTGGGCGAATCTGCCCACCAACGTTCGGGTCGCTCTAGCACACGGGCGCTGAGAGAATCGGTCCGCCAAGGCCGGGAGCGCTCAAGCCCGCAAGCGCTGGACGACGCGGCCATCCGATTCATAGATCCCAGCCTGATCCACCGGGGTGCTGCTAATGTAGAGCAAAATGATTTAAGTAACCTCCCTGAGTTTGTAATAAATTCGACCTTCGACGATCAACTGTTTTTCGATTCCTATATTGCCTCCCCGCAGGAGTAGTCAGTAGGTAGATGTGGATGATTGCATTTTCCGAATGGCTCTTGAATCTGTGTTGACTGAGAGTCGGTGAGTTTTTTATTTTTGTTAACGATAACGCGCTTAAGCCGCCGTTGGCATGCTAGCCTTAGGAAAATCTCAAACAGAGCTCTAAGGAGTGACAAGGCTGATACGATGTTCTTAAGTTTGAAAGTTGTAAGCAGGAGTTGACTTATTGGTTATTAACTTTTTGATTTTGTATGATGAAACCAGAACGATCAACGAAGGAAAATATGGGGACTATTCACTTTCGGAACCTATGAATTAATCAATAAAATAAATATATATTACAAAAAAATGGGTTGCTATCGATATCAGGCAATTATCGGGTACCATTTATTTTACTATTTATACACCTCGTGTATCGCCTTTCAACTGCAACAAACTTGGGCTTTGTTTGGAACATTATGTGATAAAATAGGTGGATCTACAGAGTAGGGAGACTTCCTGACCCGGTTTCTGGGAATTCTAGACAGGAGAGATTACCGTCCTGCTGCCCTGTAGTGCAATGTCATGAGAAGTTGTTGGTGGGTCTCTGAAGCTGGTAAATAGTTTCTCGAGGGGTTGATTTTTTTTTTTTTTTTTTTTTTTTTCAGGTCTATGTTGGTTCACCAAAATACCGAGAGAGCGTTGATCAATCCGAGTTTATAGCATTTCGAGACTCAAGGAAATTAAATATACAGTACATGCAGCGTATGAGGATACCCCATCGCTCCATCAAATGCAATTGGGACTTCGAAGAAAAGAATATTTACTAGTGTAACATAATTATTCTGAGATGGAAATTGAATCTTCACTTCAAGAGCTAAGGCCCAGTGTTGGATAAAGAGATTGAAGATGAAAGATTACTATCGCACCCGCGTGTGAGGGAGATGATTGACGTAACAACACCATCTTTGGAAATGCAGCTGTCACGCTTGTCATTTGTTCATGTTTCTATCTTGCAAATGAGCATTGTGGAACGGAATCTCAAGGCGCCAAGCCATAACTAAATACTGCTGACTGAGTTCATCCAGTCCTTCAACCAGAGATCAGTCTCTCTTCCCGGATTCATTCAGCGCAGAACAGCACCAATGGCTACCGATGTGGTGCTTGACACTTCCATGGTACGGATGAGTATATCTACGTGCTGTTCGAAAGATTAGATTTGCTAACATTCCCCAGGGCTCCATCACGCTCGAGCTCTACAACGAGCATGCGCCCAAGGCACGATGCACAACCCCCACCCTTCCCTCCTCTTTTCATCCTCCCCTACCTCAATTTTTGCAAAACACCCCTATTCACTGACATCCGCTCTATTCCATTGGGATATACAGACCTGCAAGAACTTTGCAACCCTCGCACAGCGCGGCTACTACAACAACGTGATCTTCCACCGCATCATCCCCAATTTCATGATCCAAGGCGGCGACCCCACCGGCACAGGCCGAGGGGGCAGCTCGATCTACGGCGAAAAGTTCGAGGATGAAATCAGCCCGGCATTGAAACATACGGGCGCAGGGGTCTTGAGCATGGCGAATAGCGGACCCAACACCAATGGCAGCCAATTTTTCATCACCCTGGCTCCGACACCGTGGCTGGACGGGAAGCATACGATATTCGGCCGGGTGAAGAGTGGGATGAGAGTTGTGCAGCGCATGGGACTGGTGAAGACAGGGGCGGAGGATAGGCCTGTTGATCAGGTCAAGATTGTGAGGGCGAGGGTTGTGGAGGAAACGGGAGAAGAATGATTATCAGTACCAGCAGTACCTTGAACAAGGTAGTATGCGAAGGAAGGACAGGAAAGCCTGATTCTGCCATCACGACTAGAAGAAACGGCTTAGGTATTGCTATACTCTACACATCCTGGACAGAAAGCCTGCTACTTCTAGGCGCGAGGGATGACAGACCAACCTCAACTCCCGTGAAAGGATTCCATCCACAGCCACACACGGAAATGATGGAAAGAAAGATCTTCAAGAGACTTCCCCTCCCGGGGGATACGATTTCGGATGTACACTATCACAATGAGTAGAATAACTAAAACTAAATAACAAATCTAGTATGAAGAAAGTATGTATCACCACAAAACGAACCGCTTCCATCACACGATAATATCTCCAGAGCAGCAGATACAGGGTGAAATAGGTGATCTACACTCCAAAAGGGACACAGCCAATGAAGGCATATCCGAAAGACTAGCGCGCCATAGCAATTATTACATAGTAGAGAGCGGCCTGGTCTGCGCAGAAGCGCTTGGAGTGAGTTGTTGAGAAGGAAAAAGAAGCAAGAAGGTGGTTGATATTCTAAAATTTTGATGGCTTTTCAAGCCGCCAGCCCCATTGGGCTAGCCCATCAGGTGATTGGAGTAATTTCCTCACTTCAACTCCCTCATCTCTTTTAATGTTTCCCACAACAAACGCACACACCGACGGTTTGAATATAAAACACTCAAATCTGTCAGTTTCCGTACTGCATAGTGCGTTCCCAATGGTCTAATGCTATCCCATGGACTAAGCAGCTGATCCTGTAATGTGTATGCTGCTGGAATGGAACCGCTCTCTGATGTTGACTGGGACGTGCTAATCTCCGGGACTGGCCTGCCCCAGTCCATACTTGCGCTGTAAGTCATGGGCTGTCTCACTCTATTGTCATTCTGGTAGCCCGAAATTCACCAATCAATCTAATACCGAAATGTTGGACCAGGGCTCTCTCCCGCTCAGGTAAAAAGGTTCTCCATGTTGACAAACATGGCTATTACGGAGGTTCGGATGCTGCCCTCAGCCTCCACGAGGCCGAAGACTGGGTAACAAGGATCAACGAGGGTGAGACACTTAGCATTAGCTATTATGGGCTCCCATGGCCCAACAAAGTCGCGAGTCCCTTGACTCACAACGGATGCTGATCGGGTTGTGCTGCTAACCAGCTCCGGGCTCTACTCCCTTTGAGTCTGCCTCAATCTCCACTTCCCCCGCTTCATCAGAAGATGGAGGAAGCGGCAAGCTTTCTCCTTCAAGAGCATATACACTGTCACTATCACCACAACTCATTTACTCCCGGTCCGGACTTATCCCAACTCTCGTTTCATCTAGGATATTTCGACAGCTGGAGTTCCAGGCGGTGGGGAGTTGGTGGGTAATGGAACATGGAAGTTCTGCCTCTTTAAATCGAGTGCCCGGAAGCCGAGAAGACGTCTTCGCTAACGACAGCATGTCGAATAAATCGAAAAGAGCCCTGATTAAGCTCCTCCGACATTTTGCCCAACAATCGCTGGATGATGGGGATGCGGATGGTGGAGAGGACAGTGACCTGGATGTCGTTCCCTTTACACAATACCTGGAATCAAGGTTTCATATTCCATCAGACCTCCATGGCCCGCTTACATCTTTATCTCTCTCTCCTCGTTCGTGGGATGAGACGAGTGCGCGATATGCTGTTGAGAGGATAAAAAGGCATATGGGATCAATTGGTGTTTTCGGCGTCGGTTTCGGCGCTCTTCTTGCGAAATGGGGCGGTGGTGCGGAAATATCACAGGTAGGGTGTCGAGCATGTGCAATCGGTGGCGGTGTTTATGTCTTGAATAGGGGTGTAAGTCATATAGAGGTACCAGCGGCGGGTTCACAAAACGATGATGCCCGACGACTGCGGGTTCAACTCTCGGACGGAGGGACGGTACGGAGCAAGTTTGTTGTGGGTTCGCCATGGGATTTGCCCACCGAAATTCAAAGCCCAACATCACCCAGGTACACGAAGGTTGCTCGCTCGATCATGATCGTATCATCTCCGCTCGAGAGCCTCTTCCCTCTCACCTCGGAAGGAGGCGTCATCCCAGCCGGAGCAGTTGTATTTGTTCCCGGACCACCTGGAACGACTCGTGCTCCAGTGTACCTAATCGTGCATTCCAGCGATACCGGGGAATGCCCTACTGGCCAATGTACGTTCCTTTAATACTGTTTTCTTTTTTCTCCATTTCTGCATTTTAAAAAGAACGAAAACCACATGCTCTCAGATGATGATTCCACTTTTTCCGAATACTTATCTACATTGTCTGCAATTCCATTGATGATAAACTTTTCCTCTGACAGCCTGAAGAGAGCCAGCCATCTATTGTTGCCACTATTCCTTTTGCACTACATTGTTTATATTTGTATATATATCGATGCGCACGACTAACATAACATACCCATGCAAACCTAAAGGCATAATATACGGCAGCACGCTGGCAGACGACGACAACAACAACGACGACGATAACCGGCAGTCAGAGTCACAGTCCCTCATTCGTTCTGCAGCCACAAATCTTCTCCGAGCGGCAGATGCCGATGCAAAAATCCTGTGGAGCGCCCAGTATACCCAACTGGGCCTGCTGAGCCGAGCGCCATCACCATCACCATCGGCATCGTCTCGTGCAGAAGCACCCGCGGTTTCCAGCAGCAGCTTATCGGGACGCGTATTCTCGTTTGCGCCTCTCAACCTCGATCTGGCATTCGATGAAGGCATGCTCGCGCAGGTGCGCGCGGTCTGGGAGGCTGTGACCGGGGGGGACGCGGAGGAGGAGGAGAGGGGCCAGTTTTGCCAGTTCGAGGATCGGGAGTCGATGGATGAGGGGGAGGGGGAGGGTGATGAAGCGGGTCTTAACTAACTAAGGGGGATGGAACCGTGTAATGAGTAATATAAATAGAGGGATATATATATATATATATATATATATCATTGTTTCTTTCTGGTTTAACTTGACTTGTAGTGTTTGATTATACATAAGGTATACAGATGAGTTACGCATGACGACCAGATTTGTAATCCTGTTGCAACCGATCAATCGATCAATGTATCTTGTATCCGCACCCGCTCGATCTATGCTACTCGTAGATATAGATATATATGTATAATGAACTCCCCCATCCTCAAACGCGATTGTTTCGCCCCCATGCCCGCGTCTCGTATTTTGAATTTTTCGAATGCTATTTCTTCCTTTTTTCCTTTTTTCTTCCCCCCTCTTCCCTGCTTTAGTCTGCATTTCCGGCAAATCCTATCCCCGAGCAATGGAAGATGGAAAATTGCAATGAGAAATGAGAAATGAAAATGAACGGGGACCGAGGGAGAGGGGAGAAGAAAGGGGGGTTAGGGGGTAAAGGTAAGCAAGTCCCGGCAACGAACGGGGGAACGGGGGAAAAAGGGAAAATCGAGAGAAGGGAGAGAGGAAGGAGAAACAATCCATCCATCCACCAATCCACTTAACCCACTTCTCCACGCACACGCACCCATTGTTGGCTCTCCTCTCCTCTCCTCTTCCTTTCCTTTCCTTTGTCTGTCCACCCGCTCCTCCATATGGACTACGTAATACAATCGGTACGGTACCAGCAATTATCAGGTACCAGTATAGCTATATATATATACTATGTATGTGTACATCCATGTGTATACCCATATCTAGACTGCGTACTCCGTCTATGTCCACGGACATAGAGCAGGTACTCCGTATAATCTGTACAGACCACACAAAAGGCAAGGATCGCGGAACAAACCGAGTGGGCCCACACTGCTGTGGTGGACCCCAACCCCAACTGGCCACGCACGGGCGATGATCGGCGGCGGCGACACGCGTCCAGGTCGGTTGCCGCGCAGGTGGATACAGGGAAGGGTAGGGGGTGGTTCGATACAGGGAAAAGGAGGGCAGGACAGGACAGGACAGGACAGGACAAGGGACACACAGGACACAGTACATACATACAGTACATCCCACTCCGTTCGGGGTTCAAGGATCAAGCCATCATGGGCCGGTGGCTTTAGAGGCCAAGCATGGCACTAGGCCGGGGGAGCAAAAGCTTGACGCGGGATGTTTTTTCTTTTTCTTCTGCTTCTTTTCTTTTCTTTTCTTTTCTTTTCTTTTTTTTTTTTTTTTCTAGTTTATTTTAGTGTATTTTTGCTTTTGGAGCGTAGATGAGTGTGCGTGATTGGATCATAGAGATGCCTAGATATCTCAGTAGAGTGGCTACATCAGGCCTCCTCCTCTGTTGCTGCTGCTAATGCAAGTCATAAAAGGACGGATGAGTGCCTGACTGGACTGGACTGCTTTTTCCCCCTTTTGTTCCAGATTGCAGTTCTCACTTGCACCGTGCCACTGCTGGGCGGTACACGGTTGCCGGGTGCAGCACGTAGATAGCGATCAGCCAGATCGTCCCACGCGGGCAGCACATTATGTCTGGATGGATGCAATGCACCGAGTCCGTATGTATGCAGTCTGGATGTACTGCACATACTGACATGAACGCGGGTGTTATCTTCTGTCCTTTGTCGAGTTCACAGCGCTCTCCGGCAGAAAACCTGGCAATGGGTGATACAGGCCATAACCTGGAAGTAAGTACAGATGTATATATATATAATATATACTTATATGTGTGCGTCATGATCGTCCTCGAGCCCCCGCCAAGGCGCCAACCGTGCCTGGATGGCTGGATGGCTGGATGGCTGGCATTGGCGCTGCTTAGCGGGCGATCATCGTGCTGCAGAAGCCGCATACAGGGAACATGGGTCCTTGCGTGGAGTGTTGTGGAGCACTATGGAGCTACTGTGGGGCGGAAACCTCGTTTCCGCCCGTCGATTGCCAGGGGGGAGGGGGAAGGATGGATCCTTGTGTGAACTGAGCAAACGACGAAGAGATGATACTCCCAGGACTATCTGTCTGTCTGTCTGTCTATCTATCTATCTATCTATCTATCTATCTATCTATCTATCTACACGGGTTGGTGGGTGCGTCCTGCGACCATACCCATACCCCGATCCTGTTCTGCTGCTCTGACTCTCCGCCGTCGTCTCGACTTGGGCCGGAGGAGGGACTTGTCAGCTCAGCCGCGTGTCCCCCACCACTCTCCCTCCTCCCAAACCCCAACCCTTCTTCACCATCTCTTCCATCACCATCCCACAATCCCTTCCATCATCCACATCCCATCATAATCCATAGGTCATCCATCCATCATGATTCTCGTCGCTCCTTGGTTCAGCAACCTCGTCCACGGCCAGCTGGACGTTCTCGGGACTCGCGTTCTCTGCTTCGTCTGCGACTACTAGTACTACTGCTTCTTCTTCTTCTTCTTCTTCTTCTTCTTCTTCTCCTTCTCCTTCTTCTTCTTTTCCTCTACCTCCTCTACTACTGCTACTACTACTGCTTCTGCTTCTGCTTCTACTTCTGCTTCTACTTCTCTTCTACTCGTCCAATGTGTGCTATCACCTCCCACGGCTCTGGTTGCGCATCCTGAAGCTGCACTCAGCCCCTCTCCTTTCCTCCCTTCATCCCCTTTCATCCCCTCTCCCTCTCCCTCTCCCTCTCCCTCTCCCTCTCCCTCTCTCAAAAACAAACACAAAAACACCCCTCCAATGCCTCCCGTCAGGCTCAAGGCGTTGACTCCTGTCATCGCCATCGCCCTCATCACCCTCTTCTTCTGGGCGGTCGACCGCTACGATCGCGCTGCCCTCACTCGCTTCACCCATCCCCTCGACAGACTCTCCCCCTCGTCGCTGAGGGGCCAGGGCCACGGCCACGGCAACGGCCACGGCAACGGCAACGGCAGCGGCAGCGGCAGCGGCAGCGGCAAGGGCAAGGGAAAGGGCAAGAACAGGAACAGCGACAATACCGGCCCTGTCCAGCTGAACTTCCAGAACCTCCGGAAACTGAACACCCCTCACCAGCTCTGTGCTTCCGCTCGTCACCCCCATCCTCCCCATTCCCCGCCTCCCTCCCTGACCTTCTCAGAGTGGCTCATCGGGAAGAACTACACTCGCGCCTACTTCCGCCCCCGCCATGTTTCCCCGGACACCACATTCAGCTCCATGGAGACTATCGACCACCCAGTCCTGCAGCCATTCCGCCCCTTGGGCCGTGGAATGAGGGTCCAGCTCTCACCCCCCAGAGACCCCCGCGATCCCAAGTCCGATTCCGATTCCGATTCCGATTCCGATTCCGATCCCGATCCCTGGCCCTGCCCCCACGTCGTCGATGTGGACGTCGCCGCTGACCACGCCGTCGACGAGACGTCCAACCTCCTCTTCGGCCTCGCAACCACGGTCGACCGCCTGCGCCGTCTCCTGCCCGCCCTCCTCTACTCCTACGGCACATCCAAGGCCAGCCTGCTCGTACTCGTGCCCAGCGACACCAAGGATATCGAGGAGCACGAGGCCTTTTTCAGAAATGCTGGCTTGGATATCACCTTGCAGAAATCTCCGCTGCCTTTCACCGCGCGGTACTTCGGCCTCGTCGAGGGCTTCACCGATTTCATCAGGACCAGGCGCCCCAATACCACCTGGGTCAGCTTCGTGGACGACGACACCTTCTTCCTCTCCCTTGCCTCCGTCGCCAAGCAGCTCTCCTCCTTCAACGCCTCCGAGCGAGTGTACATCGGCGCCCTCTCCGAGGCCAGCTGGCAGGTCGACACCTTTGGCAAGATCGGCTTTGGCGGCGCCGGTGTCTTCGTCTCCGTCCCCCTCCTCGAAAGGCTGCACGGCGCCTATGACACCTGCCAGTCCTGGGGCGAGCAGCCGGGTGACCAAAAACTAGCCCAGTGCATCGACAAGTTCGGAGACACTCCGCTCACCCTCTGGGACACCCTGTACCAGATGGACATGAAAGGCGACGTCGACGGCGTCTACGAGTCCGGCCGCCAGATCCACTCCCTTCACCACTGGGGCAGCTGGTACAAAAAGGATGTCGTGAAAATGTCCACCGTCGCCGCCGCCGCCGGCCGCCAGTCCATCCTGCGCCGCTTCCGCTTCGACGAGTTCACCACCCTCGACAGCGCCACCGGTGCCTCCATGCGCAGCTTCTGGGTCCTGACCAACGGCTACTCGCTGGTCCGCTACACCATGGACGCCAGGCTGCCGTCGCACGCGGTGAACTTTAACCACACCGAAAAGACCTGGGATGAGGACCAGCGTGGCTACGAGAAGCGCCTGGGTCCCTTGCGGCCCAAGGATCAGCCGGGCATTCGGAAGGAGAGGTGGATGTTGACCGACTCCGTCGTCGTGGGCGATAACGTGCACCAGACCTACGTCAATAATGCGGATGGCGTGCATAGCGTCGTCGAGCTTGTATGGCTAGGGCCCGCCGGCGGCGGTGGTGCCTTTTGACATCGTCTTGCTTTTTGTTTCTTTTTTCTTCTTCGATATTTCCCAGGTCAAGTTTTTTAAGGTTTTTTTTGTTCTTTATTTCTTTTCTCTCACTGGCGGCTGTTTGTGACTTTATTTATTTTATTGTATTTCTTTTATTTCTTTCTAAACTTTATTTCCAAGCTTTTTATTTTTTTATTTTATTTTTTTTTTTTTTTTTCATTTTCATCTTTTTCTGCCTTCGTTTCTGATCGATTCCTTCGAGGCGTTCTCGCTGCAGGGTACACAAAAGCTTCAAAGATCTTCTTTGTCTTATTATACCTCTCTCACTGCCGTTTTCTGCTTCCTCCTTCCTTGATGTTGTCGATTGGGTTCGCCTGTTGGTTTGGTGTTCTTGTCGACTTTCGGATTCGGGAGGGTGTTTTCAATCTTCTTGTTGATTGTTCATATTTTTTTTCCCCGCCCCTCCGGTCATCTGTCCATCTGTACAGTAAGTTAACTAACTAGAGGATTGGTGTTTATATATTACTTTCTTTTTTTAGATTTCCGTAGTTAGTTTATTTCTCCCTTGCTTGCTTTCTTTCTTCGGTTCCACTGCGTATGTTTTGTTTAAAAATATATATATCTATCTATCTTATCTTCTCTCTTTATATTATCCCCTTTCGTCTGTGGGCGAGGCAACAATTAGCGTCGTGCCTGACCGCCTTTATATGGCCAATAGGCAAGCTGAACTATCCGCTCCCAGCCAGTAAGCAGCCATGAATTTGGCGTGGCAGAAAAATACGCTAATTGATGCCTCCGCCCCCCCCAGAGACGAAGGATCAAATCCAATATTGGATGGATGGGATGTTATTTATTGCAGTAAAACTCAGCCACTTCCACTTCAAATTAATTTGATCTGAACTACGGAGTACTCCGTACTGTCAAGTTCTGCTAACATCTGAGTCAATCCTACTACTGTACCAGTACAAGAAAGATATCATGCTTGTGTTGACCAAAACATGTCCAAAGCTCCTACAAAATACATTATTCAAAGTTCCACTAGTAACTAACTAGTAACCTATAGTTACTAAGTTCGTTCACTTAACAGTAAACAGAAACCCTGTAGTTATAACTAGAGAGGACGGAACCCAGAACAACACCCCTCAAAATCCACAAAATCCAGCAATAAAAGAGAGAGAAGGGAAAGGAGGGAAAAGAAAAAAAGAAAAAAAGAAAAAAAGAAAAAAAAAAAAAAAAACCCCGGCCGCGACAAGACAATGCCCCCACCCTCCACCCAACTAACGTCCTGGGCCCGCCCGCGCCTCTCCGCCCTCCTCCCGGACCTCGACGACGCCTCCCTCACCCAACTGCTCGAATACACCTGCTCGCTGGACGCCTCGCGCGCCGCGGAGCATCTGCGCGGGATCCTGGGCGATTCGGCGCGGGCGCTGGAGTTTATTGTTGGGTTTGGGGAAAGGAGGGGGAGGGGTGCTGCTGGTGCTGGTGCTGGAGGAGGAGGAGGTGGAGGAGGAGGAGGAGGAGATGGTGGGAAGAAGACCGGGAAGGCGGGAGGCGCTCAAGCGCAAGCGCAGGCGGAGAAGAAGTCTCCCTCGGCGGCTGGGCCGTTGATATCTGAGTATCTGCCGAATGTACGGTCGAAGACTGCGAGGGCGTCTGTTGCGCGGCGACATCAGCAGCAGCAGCATGCCGCATCATCGCCCTCGACGGAGTCCTCCCCTTCGCGAAACCGTAACATGTCTACCGCTGCATCTACAACTGCGTCTACAACGTCCGACATAGCCGACCTAACCGCCGCCATCGCCCAGCTCGAACAAACTACCAACCCCTCCCTCTCCACAACCAGCAGCAGCAACACCAACAAACCGCGCCAGAAAAGGAAATGCTCCTGCCAAGCAACCCTGCATCCCCTCTTCACCCCAGCCCCCAACTGCCTGAATTGCGGCAAGATCATCTGCGCCCTCGAGGGCCTCCAGCCCTGCTCCTTCTGCCAGCACCCGCCACTCTCACCGCGCCAGGTGCAGGAGATGATCCGCGAGCTGCGCGCAGAACGCGGAAACGAGAAAATGCGCGCACATAACCTTGCGGCCGGGTCCAAGGGGGACCGGCACCAGCAGCACCAGCAGCACCAGCAGCACCAGCAACAACGGCACGGGGAGATCTCCAGCGATAACAGCGGCGGCCCCGGTACCGGTACCGACACAAACGATAATATAGCGCACGACCTCGCCGCTGCACAGGCGCACCGCGACAAGCTGCTTCGCTTCCAGGCGCAGAACGCGCGGCGCACGAGGGTGGTGGACGAGGTTGCGGAGTTCGAGACGCCGGACGTGCATGCGGCGAGTACGCTGTGGATGAGTGCGGGGCAGCGGGCGCTGGCGCTGAAGCGGCAGCAGCGGGTGCTGAGGGAGATGGAGGAGAAGGAGAGGGAGAGGGAGAGGGGGTCAGTGGTGGTTAGTTTGAGTTTTGAGGGGGGGAGGAAAGGGGTTTTGAGGAGGGTGGAGAGGGAGCAGGAGGAGGAACGGGAGGAGGAGCAAGTGGAGGAGGTGGAGGAGGTGGAGGAGGAGAATGGAGAGCGGAAGGGGGGCTTTGGGCGGAACCCGCTGCTTGCGGGCGGGGGTTTGGTGAGGCCTGTGTGGAAGCCAAATGGGCAGGTTGTTGATGGGAATGGGGAAGGGGGAGGGAAGGAGCGGGAGCCAAGGCAGAAGAAGCAGACGTGGCGGAGGGTGCAGGATGATGATGAGGATAATGAGAGGTGGATTCTGGACGGGGGGCTGTATGGGTTTGGCAGTGAGCGGGGAGACGAGGTGGGAACTGAGATGTAGATGGAGGCACGGATGGGATGGACAGATGGGATGAAGTGCATACATACATGTACGCCAACATTAGAAGGTGGCCGCTTGAAATATGTTTATTTTTGTGTTGTGCTTTTATATCAACATTGGTTTTTAGGGGCTTAATATCTATTATATACAGAGAGGTAACCACTGCATATATCGAAGAGATGAATATTCTCTATTGGGGGGACTTTCCAATGCACGGTGGGAGATTTGTTATTGACCAATGACCATTTTCGAGCAAGTTGTGCATATATCAAACGTATCTGTCGACGTTCCACTGAGTGTATGCCAAAAATGATGACCCATTTTGGGTTTCGCTATCTGCTCTTCAACTTCAATATTGCACCAGGGCATGCACCGCTAACCACCGCAAGACTATAAGGTATGTCGCCATTCTACCTACTGCCACAAAATCAATATCACATTATGAATAACTAACTACCTACACATGTATTTCAATTAAAAGGATCACACATAATAACGGCTGCCACTTGTCATGGAAGATCATACTCTATATGACTATTGTGTGACAACCTAGGTTCCTAGAAGGATGGGTTCAAATTCACAGGGCTCCTGCATTGTCCGTCCATTTGCTTTTCCCTTTCTACCTCCCCCATCTGTGTTCGGTGTTGCGAACTAATACGTCAGTAATGTTTTGTGTTTGGTGCGAGACCCCGTTTCTGGTCATATGCCTGAGAATCCGTCAGTGATCAAAAAGAACTCGCAAGTCATTCAAGGCACGAACACGCTTCAGCCTTCGGCTCATGTAGCGGTCCAATGTGACAGGGCATAATTGGCGAAGGAGAAACATGCGCCCTAGGTTCCTTGGATTTTAAGGGCATTGAAGTGGTTGAGGAAGTAAGAAGTGCCATTCACAGATCATCAGCTTAGTCAGTGGGCGGTACCGGCGCCGGAATTAGGATGTTCCAGCCGTTGCTGCTTCTACCCACCATCTCCTCCATTCTCCTTCAGCTACCTTCAGCTATCTGCATCCACATCTTCATCTCTACCTTTCAACCCGCTGCCTGTAAGCCCCATTGGGGATGTGCAAGGGCGTATTGCAGAGCTGCAGGCCAAGATTGATGACCCTGCCACCAGTGAATCTCAGAAGATAAATCTCCAGACTGTAATCAAACTATATCATGACAAAGAGCTCCCAGGACGGCTTAAATGGATTCAGGATGGCAAAGTTGTCCAACTTAAGGATATCGATTTCCACAGGCCACACTGGACTGAGGTACTTTCCTTCACCCTCACCTTAGGGTTATGAATCCAGCAACCTCCTGCGCTTACCTTTGTTTCAACCTAGGGTCATCTTCAGCAAATATCCACACAGGCTATGATTCCAGCTACGAAGCCAGACCCATCTTCCGAACCTCCCTAGTCTGTGTCAGCGAGTGTAGGTGCTAGTCTAGTCCATTCGTCTGAAGACGGACTGGCTAGCGTACATTTCAACCTCTTTTTAGCCGTTCAATTACCACCGACGCCATGCTGGTAGCAGCGGGGATGAGCCACCCAATCAAATCACTTCAACAAGATATTCGCTTGAGTGGGCCGGTTCCATACCTGTTATCATCGTCCACATTATTCCCGATCGAAATCACAATGATCAATAATATTGGAAGTAATGCTTTAGACAGTATTTGATACAGATCTAATCACTTGTGCCATCCCTCCATCCTATAGGGGACTTGGCTCAAACATCTCAGTAACGACGGCTAGTGAAACGGTGAGGGGAACGGTTCTGGGAACGGTCTGGCGACAGTAAACCACGGTTGAGATACAGCTGCTAGATCTGCAAGGCAGTGCTGTGTCTGGCTGGATTTTGCAGCATCATTGTTACACCAGCAGCCACTCTGGTGCGGGTATCGGACAATCTCTGTAGTTTGCAACTGCACCAGGAAACCAACATTTATATGTCACTTAGAAGAAGAATGGCATTATTAAACAGCTTCCATTTGTCTAGCAGTTACCTGGCCTATCTACTTATTTTATGACTTGAGGTGGTGGGTGGGGCTTGTAGCGTCAACAATCAAACCACTGAATCATCAAATTCTTCGCACATTTTCTAATGACTGTTAGTATTATTAGTATTATTCAATCCGGATATGTGAGTGAGTGCATACTATCAACCCTTCGATGAGATTATCACTTTGATCATATGGTTATGGTAGAGTAGTGATTATATCAAATGAACTGATTGGCTCACTGGTTAAAGCAAGCAAGAAGTCTGAGATACATCCCTTCGATGATATAAACAGAGTGAGATACACCTCAACAATAGAAACAGGGAAAAACAACAAGATGGGGGGAGGGGCGGGGAAAGCTAGATTATCAAACGCATGCTTGTATCGTTTGCAAATATGTCCATCATTGTTAAACCCAAGCTATAGGACAACAGCCTCTGATGAAGTTCCCTTACGATAGTTAGCTAAGTGGAAGAGTTCCAGGCGCCGCCCTCAGAGTCTTGTATATGATTTCCGCAAATTGGAAAAGGGCCATCGCTCTCCACAATGTATGCGTGATTTAGACTCGAGTTTTTGAATGGGAACCTTGATTTTGAAGAAAAAAGAAGGTCACCTCAGAAGGTTACAAAAGTAAAAAGGCAAAGAAAAAAGAAATAATCCACAAAAGCTGCTCGTGGAGGTGAAGCTGAAGCTGGGCATCGGCTATTTCTACGCTGTGTGATGTGTATTATCCCTCTACCTTAAGGTACTGGATATACTAGTAGTATACATACTCTCTCTGAGAGTGAATCAACGACACATGGATAATCCTATCTCTGTGTTGCAGCAGCTGTAATGAGGAAATGCTGATACTTTGTAAGGCTTCAATAGCGATTCAATGGAGCCTTTTATCACGGTCCCGACTGAACTAAGCAAGGTGGGGGTTTTAGCTTGGGACCTTCCCCTCCTCGTGCGTGGCCTAAATAGGAGAATATAGGGTTAGGGCTAGCTTCCGGATAGAGTTGCTGCTATGACGCTATGATATGAGGATTATATCAAGGATCGCATCAAGATCCGACCGACCTACCTACGATACAATTCTGTATATAGCTAGCAGCTGGCCCCAACATTATATGAGGAATAGCGGGTCATTCTGCAATATCACTACCCCTACGTTCTACCCCACCTGCGTCGTCCAAAAAGGCTCCGATATCGAGTTTAGTTTGCCGGCGAGCGCTTCGACCATACCAGGGAACGAGGATCTAGAATATACAAAGACCTTCTTCCTGCATTTTCATTCCAATAACTTTCCACACACCCAACTCTCGGGCCTGCCTAAGGCTCAATTTCCTCCATAACATACCTCTACGCCGTTACACCATGTCGTCCTCGCCCGTCATCGATGAGGCCCGCCGCATCGCCGAACTGTTTGAATACCCCACGGAAGATGTCCATCGCGGTGTTAAGGAGTTCATACGGCAGATGGACGAAGGCCTGGAGCAAGACGGAGCTACATTGCGCCAGATTCTGTCGTATGTAACTGCAGTACCCGATGGGACGGAAAAGGTGGGCACTTTCTCTTCTTAAAATCCATGAGGCTCGCGACACCACGGCCAAAAGCCGTTTATCCAAATACCATGTTAAGCTGGGGGAGATTTTTTTAACTTTTTATAAATATGTAGGGCGTCTATCTAGCGGTAGATCTAGGAGGGACCAACTTCCGCGTCTGTTGCGTAGACCTACACGGAGACTCAACCTTCTCCATCTCACAATCAAAGGTCGCGATCCCACCAGAGCTCATGGTGACGAGGCATGGGAGGGAGCTCTTTTCGTTCCTGGCGCTGCAGATTGAAGAGTTCCTCAGGACACATCTATCAGACCACTTCGCGGCGCACGTCGAGCGGAGACAGACCGGCGAAGTCATTGACCCGTATGTCGACGAACAAATTTTCGACATGGGCTTCACCTTCAGCTTCCCCGTCGACCAACAGGGAATCAACAAGGGCAAACTAATCCGCTGGACGAAAGGTTTCGACATCGACGAGGTGATCGGGCAGGACGTTTGCAAACTGCTACAGGACGCCATAGACCAGCGCCAGCTGCCCGTGCGCGTCGCGGCACTGGTCAACGACACCGTCGGCACGCTGATGGCGCGATCGTACTGCTCCGGCCAGCACAGCAAGGCGTTGATAGGCGCCATCTTCGGCACTGGCACCAACGGCGCCTACGTCGAGAAGCTCGCGCGCATCACGAAGATGGACAAGGTCAACCCAGACACGCAATACGACCGCACTACCGGCGAGATGGTCATTAATGTCGAGTGGGGCAGTTTCGACAACCACCTCTCCGTTCTGCCCAACACGCGCTTCGACGCCGCCCTGGACGCCCACAGCGTCAACCCGGGAATCCAGATGTTCGAGAAGCGCGTCTCGGGCATGTTCCTCGGCGAGATCCTGCGCCGCGCCCTGCTGGCCATGAGCGAGGATCCGGCCGTCAGCCTCTTCCGCACAACAAACGACCGCGCTGCTATGACCATCCCGCCGGACTCCGGCTTATACCGCGCCTGGGGCATCGACACCAGCTTCCTAAGTACCGTCAAGGCAGACGAGCTCCCAAACCTCGACGCGACGCGCGCGCAGCTGAAACAGGAACTCCAAATCGACAACGCCAGCACCGATGACTGTCGGGCGGTAAAGATCCTAGTACACGCGATCGGCAAGCGGGCAGCGCGGCTGAGCGCCGTCGCGCTCGCTGCAGTTATTATTTCCACGGGGAAATTGCGGGAGGGTCCCGATGTGCTGGCGGACATCGGGGTCGATGGCAGCGTTGTGGAGCATTATCCTGGCTTTGAGGAGTATATGCGTCAGGCGTTTAGGGAGATTGCGGAAATTGGGGAGGAAGGGGAGAAGAGAATTACGTTGGGGGTTGCGAAGGATGGGAGTGGAGTTGGGGCGGCACTTGGGGCGCTTGTGGCGAGGGAGGTAGCGAGGAGGGGCTAGATTGGGGATGAGGATTATTTATTTATTTATTTATTTTTTTTTTTTTTTTGGCTCTTTAATTTTTGAGCGAGCTGAGGGAGGGACGGCGAGTTGATACTTTAGACTTGAGATCTAGATGTGGAACGATCTTTATGTATGTATGTTAACGCGTTTTTGCTAGTTCTTGCGTATATATCTAGATCTATATACACATACACATACACGTTTAAATGAACATATATCTCCCCTTACTTACTCTGATTGCATCCTCATTTACTTGATAAAATCCTGGGATTCACTCGTACTTAACCCACACCCGACTTTGGCGAACTCATCGGCGGTGGAGGCGTCTTATCTCACATGACATTATCACATGATCATGACTATCTTCAACGCTTCCAAGGTTCCATCCTATCAATTCATTCCCACTCTATTTGAATTCAACCAGACGGGCTCATTTATAATTTTTGTGCTGGAAGCCCAATTGACCGAACACGCCGCTTCCTCTCCATCCGATCTCTCCCCAGCCTATTCATTTTTTTTTTGCTCTTCCCCCGGTTTTTCATCCGCACGTACCGTGCTTTCGGCAACACAAAAAAATACCCCCGAGAGCGAATTGTCAAATCCCGGCGACGTATTACATCCCACACACGTTTTGTACTATACCTATCTATCGAGACGACGAGATGGGAGCGGGCGGATCGAAACCTGCGACAGCGACGGGGGCTGGGACTAGACATATATTCTCGAGGTGAGTTGGGGGTTCTCTCTGCTTTGAATTACAGGGCTTGTTATTGTTCTCCTCACATGTCTGTCTTTATTTATTTTTTTTCTTTTTCGTTCCTTTTCCTTGCTCTTTTTTGCGCTTCAGCTCGTTCTTTTGTGTTTGTGTTTGTATTCGTGTTCGTGGATGTGTTGGGTGTCGATTGTTTGGATATGGACACTGCTATTTTGATGGGGTTTTTTGGATTTGCGGGCGGGAGTCGCTTGGACTGGATTAGGCTACGTTGTGTTGTCTAGCTGTGCGGAAAGGAGGAGGAGGTTTTATTTCTTTGGGCGGCGGATGGTCAATAAGAGGAAGAAGGAGAAGAGAGATTTTCAGTTGCTGGCCATTTGTATCACCACGATGCTTGCGAATTGAATGCTTGCTTCATCATTGATGTTGTTTTTCGCCCCGGAACTTGATATTTCAGTTGGATGATGATTTTCTATTGTGATCAAGAAAGAGCGCAACTAGCTAACCAGGCGAATTTGTGAGTGTATAGTGGCACCCCAATTCAATTCTCACAGGAGTTTGTCGAATCCTTGCAGGCGAGCTCAGAGGTATGTACAGATACGTATCTCTAACAACAAATCTAGATCCCCCTCCCCACATATCCCGGAGGCAACAACACCTCACCCCCTAAATGCGGCAAAATCCCAAATATCTATATGCCCAAGACTAATCGCAGAGCAACAACCCGGCAGACCGACTCCTCCCGTGCACAAACGATAGAACTCCACATCCAGAACCGCATCGCCGCAGAGCTCGAACGCATCCGTGCCCGCGAAACACAGACTCTCGCCGACCTCGCAAAGCACATTGCAGAGCAATCCCCTCCTGATACCGCCATCTCCCAACCCCAATCTAATTCTCACAACACGGACCCATCCCTCTCACCCGATGCCCCGCGCGTCCCCCTCTCTGGCCCCGGTTCCCCCGCCGAGCTCTCCCCCCAGTCTTCTCCAAAATCCACAGTTACCGCCGCGAACGGCGTACCGATAAAGGAGCTGAGCAGCGCTCAAGTGCAGCAGGAGATCTCGGCACTGAGCGCCAAGTTGGCGGAGAGACGGAGGGTTCGGGAGCTAGATGCAGGGGTGGAGAAAGCGCGTGAGGAAGTCGTGAGGTGTTTGAGGGGAAATGAGACGAGGCCGCTGGACTGCTGGAGGGAGGTTGAAGGGTTTAAGAGGGAGGTTGGGCGATTGGAGAGGCTGTGGGTGGAGAAAGTTGTTGGGTAGGCGGATGGGACCTTTTGTGATCGAAGGTATTTTATGATAGGTGAGCTTCGATGACCAAGCGTCGTAGTGGCGGTCGGTACGGGAATTTGTTTTTGGAGTGGAGAAGAGACTATTCTTTTCTGGCTCTGAAATGTATACATATATAATGCCTTTGACTGCTGCCTTTTTTCGACTTCACATGTTCCTGCTTAGCAGGGAAAGGTTTAGAAAATGATGTTTCGCATGCTTTTCCCGTCTCGATGAAGTGAAAATTAATAAGATAACTAAATATGTTTCCTATATATAGTCGATCAAAGGGAATTGAAAACCGCTCATTGCAAACCATACAGGAGTTAGTTAACTTCCCTTCTACGCTTCATAAATTTCATCTCATAACATCCAAGGATACAAATACAAATACAAAAACAATTTTACTAAAACCTTACACTATCGATCCCTTGGTAGAGATCTCACATTACCTCCCAAACCCCCAGCCTCCCCACCCTCTCTCCCGCAGATCGGACAATACACACTCTGGACAAATACTCTCGGGAGAACATATGCCCCTTCACCCCCGTTGTCCCCTTACCATTCATCCGAACCCGCGTAATCCCACTAATGCCACTATCTCCAGAAGAAGGGCCAGCTGTGCCCTCAAGGTTAGAGCTAGAACCATCATAAACACAAACCCTCTGAACCAAAACAGAGGCAACACCCGTCCCCCTCCCTTGCCCCAAATTAAAATTCCCCGTCGTGACAAAGCCAATCAAATCCTCCTCACCCGGCATGGGCAGGTGCGCTGCCGGTTCTGGGTCAGCAGCGAGATTGGTGGGGAGTAGTTTGCTGCTGTTTTGCGCCAGGATGGCCTGCTGCTGATTTTGCTTTTTGCTCTGTTTCTGGGCGCTGGGTGTACGCGCGGAGGGGTCGAGGAGGGCTAGCCATTCGTTGCGCAGGGAGGGATTCGTGGTTGGGAGGCGGTAGAGGCGGGCTCGCGGAATTGGGGTGCCGCGGTTGATGAGGGTGAGGTTTACGGTGGCGAGTGCGGGGTGGATGAGGAGGGATTGCAGACGGGCAGGGAGATTGGCAGGAGATTTTTGGGTAGATTTTATCTTGAGGATTGTAGAGGCGAGAAGGGGAGGGAGGTGGTGGATGTGGAGAGGTGGCGGTGATGGCTTGGTGTGTGTATATGTAGAGGTGGAAGTGGACGGAGTGGATGTATTCTTCCGCTTTTCTTTCTTCTTGCCCTCTCCCTTGCTTGTTTCCCGCTGATTGGTCACTTCTGCTGTCAGGGCATCTTTCTTTACTTCAACAATGTTAGTGGAGTCGGGTTTGGAACGTTCCCCGTCTGATATAGGGATATTAGGCTTAACAAGCCGCTCCCAATCGCAGGCCCAACCCTCTCCAATCTCTCCCTTCTTCAGACCTCCTATGTCGATGCTATCATACTCGACACGTTTCCCCTTTGGTTTACGCTCCCATTCCCCGCGTCGAATGTCCCTCTCACGAATCTCCCATGCCCATCCTGCGTTTGTCCCTGGAAAGTCGCCTGGGAACCAAGCCTCTCCACTTTCGAACGCAAGTTGTTGCTTTTCCAGCAGGCCACCGAAACGAGGGTTCCCACCAGAGGATAGTGGGTAGTACATAACCGAATACCAGACAGGCACAACACATTTCCACGGCAAGAGAACTGTGTAGGTACCCTGGGAGTTTCCTCCGTTAGATAAAGATTTTGGCCGTGACGCGAGGATAAGGACTGGAATGCACGGATCTGTAGGTTTTGGCGAGGGATGCTCGCCTGGATTAGCCAAGGATTTCCGGCGGTTTATTGCTTTTTGGCTAGGTAGAAGCCGGGAGGCTGTTAGTCGCGCGGGGCGAGAAAATATGTCTGGTTTAAGTTGTGTAGAGTCAGGTGTCCATGACGAGAGGGTGATCGCGAGTTCATTCAAGCAGGACTCTGAAGTCGGAGGCTGAATGGTTCGAAGGGGATGGCGGAGGCGAGGGTCAGATATATTAAAAGCTAGGACAGCGTTTTGCGGAAGTGACGCTGCATTCGTGAGACCCGAAAGAGAATCCCACGTTGCTTCAGGAGAGCCCTCAAACCATTTTTCCCCCTCGGATGGTGGTATGGGCTTGAGAGCGGCAAGCAAGATCTCCGTTGCAGCGGGCCCAGTGACATCGATACTTCCAATATCAAATCTAAGATCCTCGATCATAACTTGCGGGTTCTGTAGTTTCGCCGCTTTCAACAACTCCTCCCACACTTGCAAGAAAGCTGACGGATGAACTCTTAAGAACATCTTCCGCCTAGGCTTCTTCAGCTTCTTCCCAGCATCAGGCATCTCGACATCCCCATCTCCGCTCGTCTTGGCTGTCTTCTCCACGCACCATACAAGAGTAACAGGGGCAATAGGTCTTCCGCTTCCCCCCCCTTCCGCTCCCACTTCCCTCTCAGACAGCCAAACTTCCAAGCTTCTCGTCCCAGTCCTCCACTTCCTCCCTTTATTCCCCCATGCCTCTTCCCCGCAAACACCCAACGCCCTAAACAGTCCTTCCAAGCTTGCCTCGGGCCCCTCCAACCCAATCGTCGAGATATAACTCATGTCCCATACCACCGCACCTCTCGCGCCACTAGCCCTATGCGTAGGTCTATAACTCTTCTCCGTGGGGCTCAATGGTACCACAAATCTCCACAGTGGCTCCTTGGGGCTTGTCATGTGTGCTCTCTTAGCGTGGAACATATGGGTTGGAAGCCAAGATTTGCACCGTTGGCGCTTTTTGAACTTCGACTGCGGCTTTTCGGGATGGGAGAGTCGGTTTTTCTTAATTTTGGGTATGCGGGGCGCTATGTTTATATCATGAGTGGGTTTGCTTTTTTTATTGTCCCCATCCCCTTCCACTTCTACCTCAAGGGCGGGATCTTGAAACAACCCTGCAGCTTTTCTCGCGGCCCGTCTAGCTTTGGAACGGGAATTGAGATTTTGAAGTCGTCTAGCAGTCTCTAATCGCAAGCGTAGGAGCTTCGTAGGCTTGCGTCGCCGAGCTGTGACTGTCGGTGTATTATCCTCAATCATCTAATCCCCCCCTCAAGTATAAAAGTATCAGTATATGTGTAAATCCCAGCAAAATACGCCCACACACCCACACCCAAACATCCTCTCAAGCACACGCAAAACCAACCAACCAACAATATACACATATATACATATATGTTTCTTACCTCCCTCCTTGCCCTTGCCCTCAACCGACTCGGCACCCTCTTAACATTATGACTAGCCGTCCTCCTCCTCAAGTTCCTCGGGACCTGCTGAAAGGCCCTTGACGCCAACGCCGCTTTCGAATTCCGGATGCCCGCCTCCAGCGCGCGGATTTCGAACTCCCGCGCCGCTACAAAGGCCGACACATCCAGTTCGCCGGTCTTGGAGAGCGCGGCGTCAGAGCCCTGTACGGCAAGGGAGCGGGCATCGTATGTTCTGGCGCGCTTTCGCGCCGAGGAGTCAGAGATGGGTATTTTACGCTTTGCTCCTGTTGTGTTTGGGGCGGAAGTAGCGGTACGGGTTAGTTTTGGGCCCATTGAGTGTCAGGGGCGTCTGCGCGCGTGCAGCAGAGGAGTTTGGTGGTGTTTTGCTGGGTTGATGTCCTTGCGTTGTCTGGATCATTTTTGTTTGGCTGGCGGAGCTTGGCGTTGGTGTTGGTCAGTCAGCTCCCATGTTAAAATAGGCTTAGCAAAAAAATGACAATCATATTTAGGGTGATTATTTATTGAGTGCTTTTTACTTCCAAATGTCCATTGTTCTTAAAATCTGACGGATTCTCTGCGTGTTGAAGTAACTTGGTTCTATGGATTCATAATTATATGAATTCTTCCGACTTGCACTACCCCGAATTGAATTGAATTCTATTATTATTTTATCCATCTGCAAACAGAGCTTTGTCAAGCGATCCCCTCCGCCAATATCAAAGAGAGAGAAACCCAGCCATATCAGTATTTTAATCGTCTACTTTAGCACACCCGCAACCACAAAAATTCCGTGTATTCCAGTAGCTTATAGCTTGTATAGGACTGCTTCAGCACTCGAGACCTATATTTAATTCAACAATCACCTAGTCAGCTTTACCTATCTCTAGAAATTTGCTAGACTTCCATGAGCACTTCGCACAATGCGAACATACCGTTACGTCCCGCCCAGGCTCTTTCTCAGCATAAATCACTTTCCCATGGTCAATAATGAGGGCATACCGAGCAGTCCGTTCGCCCATGGTCCAGCCAATGCTCTTGGAGAACCCCGCATCTGGATCGCTTAGGAAGAGCTAGAAACAATATAAAAGCTTTGTATCAGCCATTATGTTTGTTAATCACCTAAGATTGCGCTGCATCTCTGGAAAAAATAAAATAGAAACAAGGTGATTTTATAAGTGAGCCATACAATATCATTGCCGGTTACCATATTCGCTTTTCCCCATGCGCTCATCACGAAAGCATCGTTGGAGGCAAGGACGGCAACAACATCGACGCCTTTGGCTCTGAGATTTTGCAGGTTCTTAATATAACCGGGGAGATGGCTTGCGGAACAGCTGGGTGTGAATGCACCTGATTTGGAAACCTCATCATCAATTTGGGTTGATCAATGTTGGGTCGCTGAGCAAACATAGCTCGTTGACTTCGAGGTTCCGGAACACAATGGCTGGAAGCAAATAAACACTGCTGGGATTGCACTTGGGATCTCCATTGACACACCAGGAACAGCAAACAGGACAACTTTTTTATCTGCCCACTCCTTCGATGCGTCGTATGTCTGGGGAATACCGCATGCAGTGATATCCCCCTTCTCTTCGCTCCAAGGAATGTATCTGCCCATCAATATAGCCTATGAGCCAATGGCCCATCCACACACTCTTTGAGATGCGTCACTGGTAATTGGGGAGATGGGTTGCTCACGAAAACTTGACATCTGCGGGGAAAGAGTCTCCAGCCTTGAGAGGGGCCATTGCGATAATAAGATCAAACGGGCACACGTAGGTTTTGGAAAGAGAGCCAGTTTACGGGGTGCGCGGAGAATGGTCTTATTCGATGAACCAGGGGTTCGTGTAGTGCTTGGGTATCGATTAGTATTTATAGCTACAAGATAGATTTCAAGGAGGTTTCTGAGTTGCTTCGTCTGGCCAAGCAACTATTAACAGGTGGTACGAAGGTAGGGTTACAACGACCCGATACCTTTTAGCGAACCAAGCTTTGGTTGAATGACGGCCGAATCCCCGACGACGACCAAAAGAAATACACGAGAGAATCAGGATTTATCAGATTTCCAAAATGGTAGATTCATTACTATGTTCCTGCGAATGTAGCGCACGACGCCAGAAACACGGAAAGAAACACGCCCTACCCCCCAATGGCTTGAAGAATGGAGGGGCAATGCATACCCAAAGTACCAGAACTATATACTTTAGGCTTTCCACGGGTTGCCATCCTAACATTGATTTTAGAATCAGATACCATTTGCACTTAGGCCACTAGGCTTTCCTCATAGCTTGCTGCAAAGTCCTTCATCGTCCAGCGCAGTTTGCACCAGCCTCAATACTTCCTCTGCCACTCCCCAGCTCAACTCCACGCCTCTCCCAGCAAGCCCATATGCATGGGCGATCTTGCGGTTGCCACCGGGCAGTGTCTCTAATTCCAGACGCATACCGCCTTGTCTTGCCGGACGGAGTCCCACAATATCCCGAATTACATCGAACTGGCCCTGTTTGTTTAAAATAGAGGGATATAGTTTCGCTGCGTTTTTGAGCAATTGTTCGCGAACAGCAAGAGATGGCACCGGGCTCCAGTCATTGGGCTGTTTTGTACCGCCCACAATGGTGCCGCCGTTTAAGGGGCGGGGTATGAGAAATGACCAAGTGCCGTCCGCCAGTTGTTGTGTTATGGTTTTATCGCAATGGTTCGAAACAAGGCATGTTTGTCCTGGAATACGGTGTAGCTTAGCTTAGGTCCCCAATAATCAAAAGATAGAAGAAAAAGGAAAAGAAAAAAGACCATTTTGCCCTCGGGAACCAGATGCTGTATCTGACGGCGGAAATGATGATACAACGGCTAGTTTGATACCAGATAACCTACCCTTAATGACGAAAGATTTCGGATCATCAATTCCAACTCCAGTGCAGTTAACCACTATCTTTGCTTTTTCATGTCCGTTGATCTCGAATGCCTCCTTGACAGACTTCAGTCGCATTCGACGTGCCTCTCCTCCGCCAAGCTTAAACCGCCGCAGGATGTGCATCATATATACATCCGGGTCAACTGTGTATGCCTCGTACCTAGCTCCAAATTCCACACCTTCCGGCATTTCATCGGCTTGTAGGACACGGAACCCGTCCGTCCCGACATACTCCGGTAACATAGCTCTGTAGGACGAGGTAGCCTCTCCCGATACATACTCAATGCCCTCCATAAACTCCACACCGAACTCTGGGTGCGCTGCGGCCAGGTCCTTAAAGCGTTTGTAGGTTCGTTTTCCCAGATGGGATTCATATTTCAGCTGTGGCGTTGTGGCTGGGATGGGCCGGTAATGAGCACCAGAAAGTGTGGTTGCATATGAAGGGTTAGGTCCATCGTCTGTAGAGAAGTACTCGGAAGCTAGGAGGATGTGGTATTTTTGACGTGGAAGGGTCTCGAGGAGGGTCAATGCTGAGGTCACTCCAATTATCCCTGCCCTGGTTTTTACAAAGAGATCCGCAGGGTTAGTGAAATAGCTGTGAACGATATGGCGTTCCAGTCATAGCATTCGTTGCAAAACGTGTCCTGTACTGACCCGATCACCACAATGGTTTGCTTCTCGGAATTGGCCATATTTGTCCTACAATTGTCTTTTAATGCTCTCCACTAGATCAAGGACGGAAAGGAAAGGAAATGCATGCCAGATGCCATACTTGATATCATGATGGAGTTGAGACTATGGCTGATTCAGCAAGCCGGGCAGCTAAAAAACCGTCCCGATTTGACCCCGCAATTTGGGTCCTAAAATTGTTGTATTACGAATTCAACATGTTCAAAAGGAAGCTCCCTCGTTTAGCTACTGTCAGAGGAGATTTTTTTTCCACTTGTCCGTCACATAGTTTTAAATTTTGTTGCGGCTGAAGTTAACTAGGGGGTTCCCGCTAGGCTTAACTATTGAATACGTCATTGTATAACTATCCATCCCAAGAGCAACAGGTCATAGCACCAAATTATATAGCTCCCCATATTTGATATTTTTATAGTGTGACCAAGGCAAAAAGTGAGCAACCCATGCTAAAATACAAGATTCCTAAATCCATCAGTACCAAACATATACCTTAACTCTCACAAAAAGAATGGTTGCTTCAATGAACAACCAAGAATCATAAAAGAAGCGGGACCCGGGAAATAAAGAAGGGGAATTGTCGAAGAAAATAACAAGAGCTGGATCCTATCAGGGCCTTTTTCGTCATTCCATCTCCTATTCTCCCTCCGGACATTATCGCCGGCCCGTGGTAAAAATTGCATGTGCAAGAATGTAAACTATTCGACACGACCGCTCTCCAGTAAGCTGTCAACATAAGGATTCAGTCTTTCGATCAATTCTTCAACGGTCAAATTGAAGGCATCTTCCCCGTCACTCAACTGAGGATCTTCGCAGAGAAAATCGCCAGTATGGACTTTCCGTTGGCAAGGCGGAAGCAAAACCTTGTTTAGAACGTGGATGACTCCATCTTGGGTAAGAAGATCTGGTATCGCGACAGAGGAATGACCGTTGACACTAAATGCAACGAGACGACTCATCTGTGCGATATCTACAGTGATGTGACTTTTTGGTAGGAGGGTAGGCAAATCCAGCTTTCAAATGAGAATAGTTTAGCCAGGGGGGCTACTTCCTACGTCCATGAATAGGGATGAGAAAATAGTACTTACATGGAACGACTCAGGGTTTAGCCCATTCCCGTTCATTGGTCTGTTATATGCATCCGAGTAAAGCGTATGGTTGCATACAATATGATACTTTAATATAGCTTCAAGATACCTCTCACCACATTCACTGAAGAGATATCCACTGATTTCACGACCAAGGTTCTCGAACGCCTGATTGGTGGGAATGAACAATGTCGACCCTACATGTGTAGAATGGTCGTTGATATAATCAACGAGGCCGGTCTTGTACATTCCTAATTCGAAAGTGCTAAAGGTTGAAGGGAGGGTATTTAGGGTTTCTGTCGCTGGAGCCGGTGGGATTAGAAAGTTATCCAGCACGTGGATAACTCCATTCTTGCCATACTGCGGTAATGAAGATCAGTGAGTATCGGTTTATAGAACAAAGGGAGCAAATAGAATAAATGGAAAGTGGCGCTTACAAGGTCACTCCCAATAATGGAAGAACGGAAATTCATCGTTAAACCCTTGGGCCCAAACTGTGTGCCGATTCGCTGAGGGTAATGCCCAAGATCTGCAGATTCGAGCAGGGTGGGCATTGTTCTCGAGGAGAATAAGTCTTTTCTCGAGTATTCACCGGGCAGAATATGATACAACATCGCCCTTTTTATCAATCTGTCCACTGGATTTGATTGGGATGTAATTCCAGTGAAGGCATCATCCGTGGGAACAAACACTGTTAACTTTGACGAGGTGCTTTGGAGCAAATCCACGATGTCATCGAACCTGGATATGTACTCTGCGAAGATTTTTGCGTGCGTGCTGGAATTTATCATCTCGTAAAGAGTCATATCAAAATGGCCGTAGTCTGGATGGTTTCCTCCCGCATGGCGTGTCTGGGGCTGAGCGAGTATGAAAGAATCCTCTTTCCGGCCATCATCACCGTCGTCGCTACCACAATTATAAAGGTCGAAGTCCTGATCTAATTGCAATATTTCTGCTTCGTGTGGATGGTTCTCCAACAGCCAGTCGATGCTTTCAGCCATTTCGGCGAGGTGAGGTACGAAACTCGTCTCATCCTTCCATAACTGTGGGGGTTGGGAATAAGGAGGTAATTCACCCCGGGTTGACAGCTCCTGGCGGCCTCGAATAACGAAGGCTTCCGCAACAGACGCGGCAACGAGAACGAACGCTGCCTTCATGGTGATATGTAAAAGAAAATCCTTATCTCTTGAACTATTGACTCATGTGAGTTGGGATGCGTCCTCAAAATAACAGGCATGAGATTCATTAGCATTGGCAATGAAATCAGTTAGAGGCTTGCTTTCCAGCTGGATGATATACTTAAAAAGCTCGGATTTGCCAGCGGTCGGAAAGAATCAAACCGACATTAGCAATGTGAGGTAACGCTTGGATTCAGGGAAACTTAATGGTCCCCAAATTCTACAATGTCGCTCATTATTGGCAATCCAAGAAAGAAAATTGGAAGGTTGCTGGTTACGTTTGGGGTTCTGATAACATGGCTCCCCAGCGAAGCTGTCCAGAGGTTTCCAAATCCCCACACAGGTCTTTCTGGTTGGTGACCCTTTGGTGGATACAGACAAGAACAAAAGATTGTAGTCGCCTTCACGAACCGACCCGCGGGCCAGTGCTGCCCAACAAACCGCTCACTCGAACTTCAAGATGCTATTTTGGCTTGTCCGGCCGAAGTCCCGTCGAGATTCAGCCTCGTCCAGGATACAACACGACAAGAGGCTCAATTTCGTCCAAGGAAAAGGGCTTGTTCCTCTGCTTCCAACGTTAGTACAGTGTATAGCATACCCGCATGTCGTACCGAAAATCCTTCCCCTGGATTGCAAGTAGCCACATCCTGGCGCCGAGGTGTGAATACCCAACCGTCGCGGGCGACCAAGGGGATGAAAATATATCCTGTTCTTAAAATAGTATCCTTTTTACGAACTCCTTCCCATTCTGGGACACATGATTGTTTCAAGTTAAAGTATGGTGTCGCGCTCGTACTCTAGTCTCCCTGTGACCTTGACCAAACCTGCAGCAGCATCGCTTCGTCTTGGTGGGCTGCGCAGTCAGCATGGACTGGTGGCTCGCTTCCCAGCAGGTTCGAATAACTCTGATCTTATTTATTTTGGGCACTTGAGTTTTGTAAAACAAGGTCGTCCATTCGAAACAGAGGCTGAGGGGTCGAGAGTTAGAGCGCGAACAGAAGGTGGATCGTGATCGTGTTCTCGTAAATCCTTCAAGGGGTGAAGCGAGAATTGTTCCACACAATGTGAGCTAACAGGATGACGTGCAGACACCAAAATCTTTGATTTCGGTAGTTTCTTTTAGCTGGCGATCTCAGAGCCATGGACGCTGCGACTTAACTTGCTGCTTGTTAGAACCGTTGAACGGCCCGGTCTTCCTCCAGGATTCTGGCTTCGTCTACAGATTAGATCCGTGTTAGAGGGAGCTTAGCAGCAATCGAGATCTGGAGATGGGTGGGTCGACTCCCCCTATTTTTCAAAAGCTGGATCACTGCGCGTGAAGTCAAAGCCGATGTCCTCAGAGTTCTTCAGCGATTTTCTTTTTCGTTTTCTTTTCTTCCTTTTTTTTTTTTTTTTTTTTTTTTTTTTTTTTTTTTTTTTTTGCTGATACAGGATTGAAAACAACACCTTTACCCATCTGAGGCAAAGGGAGCCATGTCCTGTTGGAATGCGCAGCACTGCTACCATCGATGGCAATACGGATGCTATCCCGTATCCCAAGATTTTCCCCTGGGGCTCTTCCGCTGGGAGGATCAGGGCTAATTTAGGAGTACGAGCTTAGAAATGCATCAATACGATTAATGTCTTCTACGAATCTCGTGTCCGAACAGCAACATATTTTTGTTGATCTCCAGCAGTTCACGCTCTTTTCCCCAGAGCGTGCTGCTAAAGAGATATTCAAAAATGTCTATAAAGACGGCTGTTATCCTCATCCAAGAAGACATGTCTTCATTCACTCCTTAGGTCTGTATGGTACACTCCTTGGGTTTTTTTTTTTTTTTTTAATAAACTTAATACTTTTCCTTACTTTGACTCATTTATATTTTCATCAATTGAAACAACAATCCGGAACGTCATCATGCGTTTCTCTACTTTCTCTCTGGCTTTGCTTCTAGGCAGTGTGGTATCTGCCACTCCAGCCGTTGAACTATTCGAGCGTAAAGTGGGATCCAGCTGCAAAACCATGGACGGCATGGGGACATGCATGGCAAGGAGCAAATGCAACGGAGTATACTATGATGGAGCTTGTGGCAAGAATTCTGGGGAAACCCGCGTATGTATTCGTCGAAAGCTTATGGGTTGGTGTATTCAATGCTGATAATTTATATGCAGTGCTGCGTTGAAGTGAAGTGCAAAGTAGGGGGAAAATCAGGGCTCTGCCAAAATATCAATAGGACCAAATGCAAGGGCGGCAAATTCCACGTGGGGAATAGCTCTGTATGTTTACTAACCCATATCCCTTCGTATATATTTAGGAGAATCTTAGCTATATTCCGCCTTGAGTACAAAAGGGTCGAATCAGAGCTGACCCCCTCCCTTTTTTTTAGACTTGTCCGGCAGGGAAAGATGTTCAGTGCTGTATAGAAAATGATAAACCCACTGAGCCCAAGCCTAAGCCCAAGCCTAAGCCAAAACCTAAAAAGACTGTTGGACAGAAAGTTCTTGATATAGCCATGAAAGAGAAGGGCACGAAGTACGTCTGGGGTGGCGGCTCATGCAAAGGCCCTACCAAAGGAGGCTATGACTGCTCCGGACTTGTCGCCTATGCTGTTTGCAAAGCCACGAAACGAAATCTCTTCAAGGAGGGTCTGCGCGTGACATATTCCATGTACTGCGCTTCGAGCAGCAGGCTAGGCAAATTCAAGTATGCAAAACCCCACCTTAGGCTTTCACATTCGCTTCCCGTCGAGATCTCGAGAATGCTAATACCTTTCTTTTTCCCTTTTCCAGGAAAGTACCCTTCTCGAAACGTCGTGCTGGTGACGCGGTCTTTTTCGGAACTAGCTGCAGCTGCAAGAATCAAAATATCTCACACATGGGATTGATGATGTAAGTGTCAATTGCTGACAATTTCTCCGTCCGCAACCGCATGTCCTCGGGTTTGTCTTTCATATCTGACATTTTAACGTTCTGTAGTAACTCTGGTGACCGCATGCTTCACGCGCCAAATCCAAGCACTGTGGTTCGGGAAGGCAAGGTTTCAGCACAAGGAAGTTTGAAAGCTTGTCCATATGTGATTCGATTTGCATAAAGCTACGATGCATAAGAATGCCTTAAGAGGAAGTTCTGATTGTATTTAACATCCAACCCCTCCCCATCATTCCCGCCCGGCCTTGGTATTTCCCTGCTCGCATTTATTAGTCTGTCTCTTTCTTTCTCAATCTTGTATACGTTTCCCTCTGTTGATCATGAGCGATTCTTTTTGTGCTTTATTTTCTTCATTTCTTTCACATACATAGTCAGACTGTACAGGTACAGTACAATTTGACAGTTTCATATCTGGCATCCCTAGAATGAATCGGATAATTTCGACCCTAATAACTACTGGAAAATTGCAATAGTCGAGTCCTGAAAAGTACCTAATCCAAACATACCGGTATATTTGGTTTGGATATAACTACTAAATTCACAATAGTAACTCTCTTCGGTTGGTTTTCCGAGGATCCAGGCTGCCACCGGGCATGTTGAAAAAAATCATGTGTAAGTAAGGTCCAACGTATCAACAGACATCGGGTTCAAAATAGTCGAACGGGGCTCGAATTTTTACCAAGGAATCTTAGTATCTGTTGATGATATATATCTAACAATATTCATCAGTGATATCTCGCAAAGACATGTAGCGATGATATCTAACCATAATGTTAGCTAGGTGCGTATCTGCTTGATACTCACTGAATTCATCATCTTTCATTGAATGTAGAGATTTCTATCCTAGCTGGCCCACTTCTTGCTCGCTCAATATATATTCATTTCACCATCTGCACAAGCAGTAGCGTTCCATTTTATCTTTCATCTGCAGTGCTCTTAAGACTTAGACTCTGCACTCTCGATAATGGAAATCCGAGACATTGCTCTCTCAGTTAATAAAATATTGTGGAATTAACTGCTCATTCGTCTCTGAGATTTAAAAGTGCATTTGCAGTCTGCCCCTAGATGACTAGTGCTGACTGGGGCATCAAGAACCCAGTCAGTGGCCCTTTTTTTTGTGGGTTGCATTGCGATTACGGAGTACTTGGCGGATTGAGGCTGGGAACATCCTGGTTATGCTCACGACGCCCGTTGGAGCAGGAATCCCGCTGGATAGCTCGCATTCATTGAATAATGAAGGCAACATCAGCGGATCGCAGCAGCGGCTGACACTCCATGCAGTGAGAACCTGGCTGGCCAAGGTATGGTGATCGAAGGCGGAAAAGTTAGCCAGTAACCGTTTCAAGAGCACTCACAATGGATCTCACCCATTACAACGTAGGCAACTGATATTTGATCCACAGAATTCATACACCCTATTCTCTCTCTCTATATCTCAGAGTTTGATATTCAGAACACTGTCAGTTCCATCAATGTCTATGCATACTCCGAACGAGTGCCATTCTCATGATATTAATCAGAGCTAACTAGATCAAATAGATTACATAAATTACATTAAAACACACTAATACAGCTTATATCCCATATACTCCAGTTCCATATGTTGGACATACAGATCTGTCGTTTTAATCTGCTGAAACCACATCTCAATCAACCAGCTTCCCCAAAATGAAAATCTACATCAAACACGACATTGTCTTTGCGTTCGCTCAAATTTGCTCTTTCCCAGCATTTCCGTTTTCGTAAGCTTTTCAGCGATTGATATGGTTATATGTAGTTAGTACACACCACCTCCTCAGCTGGCAGGGCACACCTTGGACAAAGTGGATTTTTGGCAAATTACGTCGTCTGATTGTCTCCGACCTCTGGAATTGGAATGATACTAGCGACTCCCGTTCAAGGATTGACGGGGTCGAGCAGAATAACCCAGCTGATATTTATTCGTGGTTCGGCGAACTATTTAAAGCGTTGAGACCCCCGTTGGGCATATCACAACTTCCAGAATGGCCTGGATTGGTGTTGACAGAGGTTGGAATTGATGCTCCACGATGACTTCTCCGTTGGTGATCGCCCTCGGCCTCGTGCCCGCGACCTATGTTTTCCTTTCCGCGCTGCTTCACCTCACCCAAGACGCGAAAGAGCCCCCTGTAATCGCAACTCAAATACCATTTTTAAGTCCGGCGTTGGGCTTTATTATGGGAATGCAAAATTTTCTCGTAAAACTCAGGTTAGCTACCTTGGACGTGTTCATGGGGTGTGGAACACTGTACATTGCAATCTAGGGATTATGGACTTTTTATGAAGCTTACTAAATTTCCCGGCTTGCAGGGACAAATACAATCTCCCAATATATACCCTACGCATACCAGGACAGCGCATCTACGTTATAAACTCCCCAGCTCTCATCCCGCAGCTACAGCGGCTGGTCAAAACTATTTCATTTTGCCCCATCGAGGCCCAGGCAGCCGATGTCGTGATGGGAGTTGGCCCAGAGGGAAATGCTATCATAGGTTCGGACAAAATGCTCGACAATGATTCTTACCTGTCAACCTTCGTACCCTCGATTCATCCAGGCCTGGCTCCGGGCCCTGGACTCAATGCGATCAGTAGTACGGCAGCTCGGGGCCTCTCGGAATCTCTGGAAAACCTGAGTAAAAGCGGCCCAACAACGGTCGACCTGTATTCCTGGGTTCGTGGAGAGGCTTTTAAGGCCATAACGGAATCCATATATGGGCCGAAAAACCCTTTTCGCGATCCCGCACTCGAGGAAGCATGGTAGTAAGTTCGAGTCCCTTGAAATAGCATCGGTCTACTTCTGAGTTGGAGGACTCACTGATATTGCCGACAGCACTTTTGAGCCCGGCATCTTGCCTCTGATGATCAACATATGGCCAAGTTTACTAGCACGAAAAAGCCTCCATGCGCGAGAACACCTTCTCATTCCCGCTTTCGAAAAATACTTCGTTGATAAGGGCCACCAGCAGGGCTCGCTCCTTGCCCAGTGCCGCTACGAGCATAACACAAGTCACGGTCTACGAGGCAGAGATATCGCAGCCACTGAGATTGGCCAGATGGTTGCGTCTCTAACCAACAGCATGGCGAGCGCGTTCTGGATGGTCTACCATGTTTACTCCGACCCCATTGTCCTCAATGAGTGCCGAGCTGAGGCAGAGCAGCTCGTTGAACTCGACGACATCGATGCCCAGATTCTCGACCTGGCCAAAATCAAGTCTTCATGCCCTATTCTTTTCTCGACGTGGCAGGAGACTCTGCGTTATGTGCACATTGCCGTCTCTACTAGAGTGGTGATGGAGGATGTCATATTCGACAACAAATACCTCCTGAAGAAAGGTGCCACTGTCATGACTACTTCTGTAGTCCAAAACACAGACCAATCGATATGGGGACCGACATTGGCTAACTTCGACCACCGCCGATTCGTATCCCAGCCTGGTGAAAAACGCAAAATCCCAGCGGCGTTCCGTCCCTTTGGCGGTGGGTCAATCCTCTGTCCTGGGCGCCATTTTATCACCGCGGGGGTCCTGTCATTTGTAATTCTCCTTTTGCTCCGTTTTGATCTGGAACCCGTAACCAAGGATGGTAAGTGGTTTGAACCGCGAAGAGAAATGGCCATGACAACAAGCATACCCACGCCCAAGGACAGAATCCAGGTGAAATTTGTCCCTAGAGAGAAGCAAAGAGGGCATGTGGATATCTCAGTTTCCAGCAAGGCGGCTTTTTACTAGTTGACCTGCAGAAATAATCAATAAATGATGTAATTGCTCCTGCTAAACCCTCCAATAACTATTTTTGAAATAGAGAATTCTGCAAAGTATTATTTGATAGCCACTTGAAGCACAGATGAGCAAGGTATGGAAAGAGGAAGCTGTATAATTACCTGTCGAAAGCCAGCCTTGGGGCGGATGATGCTTTAAACTCAAAAGAATTGGATGATCCACAGCGATGCGGGCAAGCGCCCACTTAGGGCAGATCAGTAGGAGACTCGTGCCGGCGTACTCGGCATAGTCAGGGGCAGTTTTTTGATCAAAAGTTTTCTCTCAGGTAGTCTCTGATTGCTGCGCTGGCCCTATATCCTCCATGCGTCGAGATGAGTATTCCCGTGGAGTACAAGATAGGAGTCGAACTGGAATCCTGGAGCCATCAAGTCGGAGAGTTGGAACTCAGATCTTGCTGTTTATTATGAACCAATGTCTCCAAAAACCCGTCCGCAGCGCAAGACGTTTTGTCTAATCGTGGCCCTAGAATTATTACATGACTTTTCACTATGTTTGGTCAAGGAAAAGGATAGTAAGAATGCGGGAAATGGCGAGAATGTTGGCCGAAGAAGTCGACGAAAAATATCCCGGATATTTTGGCACCGAATTGCATCGGGAATGGATCAGTCGCTCTAAAAAGGCTGCCACATGCCAAAACGACGCATTACTATTAAAGAATCGAGATTTCGCGTTTTCGGGAAAGCTCTTTTTTGCTGCAAGCAAACTGTCTCCACGTTTATCAGGGCGGCACGTTGAGCTATCGCCATGCTTCAATCCACTATTCTCCTCGCGCTCGCGAGTACATCCCTTGCTTCCTTTGCCGGGAACTTGAACTATCGCAGCCCGTCTCACAATCACCCTGCCCTCGGCATCTCAATTCCTAAGGTGTTGAAGTGCTCAGATCCGCTGGTAGAGTATTCAGTGGACAACTTGGATTTCACGCACGGCATCGCTTCCGGAGACCCTTATCCCAACTCCGTCATTCTCTGGACGCGATGCGCGCCTTCGTCAGAAAATGTTAATGAGTGTGTTGCGTCTGAAGGTGGCGGCCAATTGTACGACTCTGTTCCTATCTATGGTGATAGCGAGAGCAATGCGCGAGTGTCGAAGGCTCCCGTATGCGTGGAGTACAACGTCTCCCCGGACAAGGGCTTCAACCAGATTGCTGATCGCGGCACCGTTTACACGAGCTCAGATATTGATTTCACTGTCAAGGTAAGAGAGAAACTTCTCTCAATGGCGCTGGTTGGAAACGCTGGGTGTGATGCTGAACCAGATTCAACGAACCATCAGGTCGAGGCATCCCATTTGAAGCCATTCACTACATATTACTACAAGTTCAACGTCTGCGGTTCGGAAAAGTCTAGCCCTATCGGAAGAGCGAAAACGTCCCCGACGGAATACGATGAGGTTGCGGATATATCACTCGCAGTATATTCTTGCAGCAACTTCGGTAAGGACTACATATTTATACAGCCGAACGGATATGAACGCTGGCTAACCATCTGGGTTAGTCAACGGATATTTCAACGCATACGGAAATACAGCTCGTAAGGACTCTGTTGACTATGTCGTCCATTTAGGGTAAAGCAGATTTCCATTCCTCTACGTTACAGATAATTAACCATTTTTTATATTTGAAAAACAAGTGACTACATTTACGAGCTAGGGGGGTAGGTTATCCACCCGCGATTACCATTCTGAGCTTTTTTATATGCTAATACCGTTCTGTAGTGATGGCTCGAGTATTGGGCGCAAAATTTACCCGCAAAAGACGATATACACTCTTTACGAATATCGGAAGCGCCACGCGACTCATAAAACGGATGAGGATTTACTTTTGAGTCACCAGACTTTCACATGGATTCCTGTGTGGGATGATCATGGTTAGTCAATGTTCTCCATGACAGCCATGGTGTGGTATGCTTTTCACTGACATCTTGACCAGAGGTTGCGGATAATACGTACCGAGATGGATCCTCATTACTCCGTAATATCGAAGGGTCCTTCATTTTCGATGGGGGAGTTTCTGTTGACCAGCGCAAGATGAATGCGGTCCGTGCCTACTTCGAATGGATGCCTATCAGGTATGGAAATTCCGCAATAAACGTTACATTTACCGTCTCACTTAGTGCCTTTCATTCACATATTTTCCCTTTCCCTCTCTTTTCCAGGCAAGTTGCGATGGACGACAACCTCAGGATCTGGCGAAACTTTAAATTCGGCAACCTTTTCGACCTTATCATGCTTGATACACGCCACTATGATCGATCCATTACGGATCTATATCTGAATAGCGGCTATATCAGGAAAATTGCGGACGACATCGGTCGATCGATGATGGGACCTCGTCAGGAATATTGGTTTTATGAGAGCTTGAAATCCTCTGCTAAGAGGCAGGCCACCTGGAGAGTCATTGGCAGCCAAACTGGTACACGCATATCCTATGCTCCCCTTCCCCCAACCCCCACCTCTCCAAGAAGGTAAAAGGAAGCCGAAACTTAATTCTAACAATTTATTCTAGTTTTCTCCCGCGTGGATGAGTTGGGATCCATAGGTCTTGGCGTGAACGTTGATTCCTGGGATGGTTATAGGTCCAATCTCAACCGTACCCTGAGGACTCTATACGAGAACAACATTGGGAACAACATCGTCATCGCAGGTGACAGCCATGCCAATTGGGTATCTGACCTCACCTGGCTGGACGAGTATCCATACGACCCGGCAACGGGTGAGGGGGCCATTGGTGCTGAATTTGCCGGTACGGCAGTAACCAGTAGCGGGCCCACATCCCATGTTGGTATCGGCAACTTGCAGGCGAAAACGTTGATTAACAAGAATAGAGAGCTGCAGTGGTCCGAGTTATACTACCGGGGCTACTTCGAGCTAACCCTCTCGCACACACGCACTGATGCCAAATTCTTTGCGATCCCCGATATCAAGAAGAGAAGCCCCCTTGAGATCTCGATGGCTAATTTCACTGTCATCGCCGGTGAGAATCGGCTTACCCGGACCAATGGGTCACCCTCGACGAATGGACAGGGCGTGCATAACGGGGCATTGAAAAATGGGAGGATTCAGAAACAAACTGTCCAGTATAATACCGAGACTAAGGAGTGGTCTAGTATTTAAAGCCGAAAATCAAGAGTTTACGACTGGAGCTTTTTCATATTTATTCCATTCTAGTTTCGCTCACATCTTTATCTGTTTACTTTACTTTTATATATTTCTAGTTTGGTAGTATTTCTTCTTTCCTTTCCATCCCCCAAATATCAAGTACCAAGGACCGGTGGGATGCCACCCTAATATATTGTATGACAGCTGCTTGCGACTTGTATTGAGATATTTATTATACATACATTTATTTCCCATTGTTCGTGGTCTCCACTAACGACAAAAGCAATCATAAATCATTAGTTATGCAGGGATCATCACTTGCCTCGCTTAGCACCCAGAGTCTTATTTCAACGACGATTCCTCTTTTCGTCTGGGACTCTCACAGCAACAACCGCCATATCAGACTATTCGTTTTGTTTCCATTGTTGCATTACCTTGGGTGTATACTAAGATGAATATATATTTATATGTCTAGATTTCTACCCTATATACAGCATTTCTTGTCGCTTTTCACTGCTGTGCATTGATCTTATCTCTCATCATGGAATGGGGCATGGATCTTTCTGGAGAAGCGCTCTTGGTTTCCGATTTATGATTCCCATTGTTTTCTTCCTTCTACTAGTACCGTTTTCTATGAAAATAGGCCTAGAGGTCCACCGCTCTGTTAATGTGATGGGAACATTGCTTCTGCTTTGACTTATCACTCAACTGTCTCTTGAAACCCTAGCCTGCTTGATCTCTGAAGGAACATATTTTCTCGATTCATATGTTTTGCTTGTCTGTTTCTGTCTGTTTTAGAAGGGTATATTTCCAGTTACACATATGGACTGCATGTATAGCCGTGATATCCATCCCTGGGCATGGTGTCTATACATATTTCAAGTCGTCACAATTACCCAATGCCTCGGTGAGGTAAACTTCTGCAATTTGCTTCTCCTTCCCTCTATTCGATTTTGCGTATCAAAACCAATGTGCTCCTAACTGGCATGGGGGAGTGGAATGGACAGGGCCAAGCCCTGGTAGACTCGGCAAACAAGACGACAAGAGGGCATTTGCTTTCGTGAGGGCTTCGCTGCAATCGTTCAGCACCCGTTTGAAGAGATATGCAGAATTTTGCCTTCAATATGGCTCTAGTGAGGTAGGGATGCGTGCATCCCTGTGTATATGCTATGTGTACATACATTCATACCCGTGTCCGGGCCAATGCGCGATGCCGCCGCCTTTTCCTAACGTCGCGGGGGAACCAAAACAACACAACATCAGCTCCGGGAACTCTTCACTCCAGAGGGCTCATCTCACTCCATGTGCTGTCCTTTCTCTTTTGCTGCCTGTCAACTGCACTCATCTGCTCCTTTTCACGCGTTTTGCCTTCACGGGAGGGGAGCCGAGGTTCAACCTTATCTCTCACCGGCCAGGGGAAGAAGTAGAATAGTAGCACCCGCGTCTAAGGCTGCTATATCGAATCGAATATGAGGATACGAGGACGATATAGCTCCTCTGCATGATCTTATCGCATCGCTTGTATATAGATCTGCCATCAATTTTCCAATTGATGGACAAAGTTGGCCCAGCTGTGGTCGTGTTCCTGAGACGCGCTGCTGAAACTTTCTGATCCAAACTTTCTCCCACTACAACAAACCTGAGCATAGCTTAGCCATCCTGTTTGCTCGGTGGAATCCATCCGTACCCTCACGTTCTGAGGCCTCGCACATGACAGATTCTCATTCCTTGCTTTCCTCTTTTATCTGATCTCTTTTATTCGAATGAAGGTGGTCCCTTTATTTACCATCCTATATTCGAATGATGTACTACGACTCCCTCAGGGCCCGTTCCCGACCTCCTCTGCGCGAAGCGAGAAACAGAGCAAATATTCTAAGAGGAGCAAGAGAACAGCCACACGAGCCATCGAGCTCTTCCCCGGCACATAAATATCCAATGTCGATCCGATCCTCAGAAGTTCCCAGCGCAGATGACGTTGTGCACTCAGCAGCGGCCGCGCTGCCTCCAACAGTACCTCCTCAACCTGCGCGTGCTACTGCTGCTGAAAACAAACGCCTATCGACGGTGGCAGAATCACAACCTAATTCCAATCGCAATTCTGCGATATCATCCACCTCTACAGCGTCCGGGAAATCCAAACGGAAAACCCATATTGGGCCATGGCAGTTAGGAAGAACTCTGGGTAAGGGTGCTACCGGGCGTGTTCGCCTAGCGAAACACGCGCTCACGGGCCAGACGGCTGCTATTAAGATTGTCTCCAAAAAGTCTGCTGCAATGGTGCAGAGTCAGAGCATTGCTGCGATGGACAAAAATATTGAGCTTACAACGCGTGTTCCTGGCGGAAGGGTGATCCCATCTGGGATCGAACGAGAGGTGGTGATAATGAAGTTGATTGAGCACCCGAATATTATTAACTTGTATGACGTATGGGAAAACCGTGGAGAGCTGTATGGCACCCCTTACTTTCTTTCACTGATACTGGAAGGTTTCACTTCTACTTTTGGCTAATCTGGATAAAACCGCTTTTGCCTCATCAGATATCTTGTTCTCGAGTATGTTGAAGGTGGAGAGTTGTTTGACTATGTTTCCGAAAGCGGGCCTCTTCCCGAGATCGAGGCCGTTCGCCTTTTCAGACAAATCATTGCAGCACTTTCATATTGCCATCGCTTCAATATTTGCCATCGCGACCTTAAGCCAGAAAATATCCTCCTCGATACCAACTGCAATATCAAACTTGCAGACTTTGGGATGGCCGCTCTCCAACCCGCGGGCCATTGGCTGAATACTTCCTGCGGAAGCCCTCATTATGCCTCTCCTGAAATCATATACGGCCATAGATACCAGGGTGACAAAGCCGACATTTGGAGTTGCGGGATTATTTTATTTGCCATGCTGACCGGGTATCTCCCTTTTGACGGTGGCGATCTACCTAACACACTCCGCCTTGTCAAGAAGGGAGAGTATATTTTCCCCCCCTGGCTGAGCGTCGAAGCAATGGATTTGATTCAGCGTATATTACAAAAGCAACCACGGGACAGGATCAGCATCGATGAAATGTGGTCTCATCCGCTCCTTAAGAAGTTTGAAAAACACCATATTTTGATGACTTCGGAAGGGGCTTCCTTGGGGCCTCCACCACCTTTATCATACAAGGACTGCGGAAAGAAGATCACCCGTCGCCAGGATATCGATATGGAACTTCTGAGAAGCCTTCAGACACTCTGGCATGGAGCTAAAGTAGAGGAGCTTATTGGCAAATTGCTGAGTGACGAGTAAGTCCTCCCTTGAAATTATTTTAGGGATTCTCGATGACTCACATTGTTCGCAGGGTCAACCATGAAAAAATGTTCTACCACGCCCTGGCTAAATTTAGGGATGATCAACTTGAAAACTACGAAGGCCCTCTCGGATATTCTGCCAGTGACTACCACCACATATCAAGGGGCCCTGCAAAATCCCAACCGCGAGCCACAAGTAGCCGCAATACCAGTCAATCCTGGCGACGATCGCAACTGTCTATCGCAACTGGTCGATCTACATTCAGAGAGACTTCCCATCCAGAACCTAAATCTGCTCGGACAATTGCCAGCTATGACCCTTACAGGTCCTCTCGATCGCCCATATCCAATCCTCAGGCAGAGTTTGCTAATGTAACTGTCCACCGCCAGTCGTCAGATTCTCCAAAGAGTAAAGGAAGCGATAGCTCTTCTCAGGCTTCCAATTCTCCAAGCCATTTCACTCTGAAAAAGGAGCTCCCCAAAGATCGCCGTTCATTTGCCCCCAGCTCCTCCATCGGCGCTAATAGATGGAATAGAAAAGGCTCTATTTCCTCAATTCAGTCCCGAAGCTCTATTACAAGCTCCACCAGACGCCGCAATGGCTTTACTGGCCCTCGTTCGGCCAGCTACAAGAGAAATGTTTGTTTTAGACATGTCCGTAACCAACGTTCCATTGGGAGACAAACCACAGAACAGCCGGATATCACACAGACACATTCCCAATCTTCGGTGCCCCCTGAAACTGAGACGAGGGACAAGATTTCCTCTGATAGATTCAGCAGCCCAGCACTTCCTACTCCACCGCCTCCTATTCGAGTACGTAGGAACCCTAATCATGAAATGAATAAGGACCCTGCAAAACAACGCATCGCTGGCCAATACTGGAGGGATGAGGCAATCAAAGTATCGGCGGAACTTGGCAAAATCTGTGAGGAAGCATTCAATCGAACTTCCACCTCATCTAGCGCACCCTCTGTTGAAACTGCAAGACAGACTGAATCCCCTCCGACTTCAGTTTCAACTCCACAGGAAGTGAGCAGCCCTGAAGACCAATATAAGATGCGTCCACTCCCAGAGCCACCGGCCGACTCATTCAATTCTTATACAATTCGGGAGTTAGCCGATACTCGGCGTCGACTTATTGAACATTCCGCTCAGGCAACATCTGATGACATTTCCCAATATCTTTCTGAGGTCATTGCGCATCTTGATCGTCTGATAGGAGATGAACTTGCACCTAAAGCCGATAACATCCCTAAACCCTGTTCGGAAGTGCTTTCCCAAACTTCAGAATCGTTTCTACCATCCATCGCCGAGGACGCCATATTTAATGACTGCACATCGATTATAGAGAAAATTCAATGCGAAGCAAAGGCTCCAGAATACGGAAATTCAAAGATCACGAACTGGAAATCGGAAAATACAATCCGCATGGTACCTCATGAATCCAGTATTCCTGACATGGACGCGATAAAGCCGTTGACGATTCGTAAAAAATCGGGCGGCTCCTCAACGCAAAAGAAGAACCCCTCCACGAACCCCGCCGGACGCTACAGATCTGTTTCAGGCCTTTCTGATGACGAAGCAGCTGGCAGTGCTCCTACTAGCAGACGCAGTAGCAATACGCGCTATTACACCAGCGGACTAGAGCCGATAGAAGAGAATCCAAGATCCCCGGATAGTTGCAATGACGCTCGCAATTCGGGAGAGTCATGGAAATGGCCTTGGTTCAAGCACAGATCGCTGAGCCAGGAGCAAATACCACCCCCACCACCTTCCAAAGATGACACGCCGTGCTTAGCAACAGCTAGCGATGACAATAATCAAGAACTTGGGAAAAGGAAGAGCCTTCAAGAGCTATTGGAACTTGGTAGGAGGAAAAGTGTTCAGGGCCTATTAGAACTTGGTAAGCGGAGAAGTGCGCCAGGGTTATTAGAATCGGACGAGCACCCGAAAACTACCAAGACGGACAAGCTGGAGATGAAAGTAGGGAAATCCCGATTTTGGCAGTTCCGACGGAGGATATCACGGAAACAAAATCTGGTGCATGAAACGGCCGAAGGAAGTAAGATTAGCCTTTCATTCCCTTGCCTTTGTTCCAAAAAAGGGTTTTTATCTTTTTATTTTTTATTTTTTTTTTCGATCACTCACTAATCAGAAAAACCAGCCAACGACCCCAATGTACCTACCGAAGTAGCGCTACCTGTGTCTCCGTTTCCCAGCAGGGCCAGTAGCTCTATTACACGGCGTGGCACCAAGAAGAACGAAAGTCACCGCCGTTCAGGGAACCAAAATTGGTTCGCGAGATTCTTCCATATTAAGCCCGCATCGAAGACGCTGGCATTTAAAGTGTCCAAACTCCGCGCGATAAAAGAAGTTGTCAAGATCCTACACGAGTGGAATAAATATGGAATGGAAGATGTATATCTTGATAGGGCGAAGAGTATTGTGACCGGAAGGGTTGCGGAGCTAAATTGTAAGTCGTCAGACAATGGAGACGGAGTAAAAAGAAAAAGGAAGGAAATGGAGGAGAGAGTGTGTGAGAGAGAATAGACTAACGTGACCCATCAAATAGTCCTGCGCCTACGGCCCGTTGAATTTTGTGGCGAATTCTTCACCGTCCTCGAGCGAGGCAGGCATGCGAATCTGAGTCTGCTACACCTGAGACAAGAGCGTGGAGCAGCATCATCATTCCACAGGGTAGCTAATACTTTAGAGATTGTGCTGAAGAAGCGCGCCTTATTAGTCGACAATTCATCCAAGGCTAAGAGGATGATCAAGGTTCTTTATTAACTGTCTTTTCGATTTGTTTTGCGTTCCCCGCTCTTATTTTCATCCAATATACACCTTCGTTTTGACGCTGTTTGAGTATGTTAACGAACGCCCTTGATTAACTATTGGAATTGTTCTGTTAGCTAACATGATTTTCTCGCGTCGAATGTCGTATCTTATGACAGATTATTTAAAGCCTTTTGTTCGGTGTATCCCTTTCTTTCATCGCATTTATCGCATTTCCTTTTTAAAACAAAATATCGTATGGAATTTGACCCAAGTTAGAGCTGCCGTTTGTGAGCTCGTTCTTATGCTAATTTGTTGTTCGATAGTTGCGCATTCCTGATTTCCTCGTACGTTTGTTGTTGTTTATTCTCCGTTATACGCTATGTCAACTCCTTCACCCTTCTTTCTGTGAGAAAATTTTGCCCTTAATAAAGCTTTGTTCGCCTTTTTGACTCCAATTTGGTTGCCGCTCCGCTCTCATTTATGACGTTTGGATTGGATGGGTTTCGATAACGATGTCCTGGATTACTTTTACTACCTTTTCCACTACCGCGTCATCCTCGGTTTAGCCAGATTATCAAACGGGGGACCTTATCAGTCTACTGTTTGGTTAGCCTGTCAAACAATCTCCCATGCTTCTCTGTTTCTTCAGTTTGACCGGTGTATCCCAACGGGGTCGGGATGGACTTGACGCATTCTTCCACATTACCCTCCTCCTCCGGTCCGACCCCTCCGGCCCCTCCCCCCTTTTCCTCTCTTGCTCCCATTGCCAACGAAGCCCATGCCCAGTCATTCCCACAATTCTCGGTGCTGTGCTAGTAGTAATAGTTTAGTTTATTTAATAGGTTGCCAATAGTCAGACTAGTTTAATAATAATACTTACTGAATACTTTTTCCACAGAAAGATTTTTTATATTCTATAAATTTCATCTCACTATAGACTTATATAATTCTGAGATCTCGATTCAGCGAAGCTGCTCTGATAAGTGTATGATATTTGTATGATATTTTTCTTCGGGTATATATTATATATATATATATATATATTTTACTTTTTATAAGTATATTCAATTCTGGGAGCCCGGGGGTCCAATTTATTACCCCACAAATTTTTTCTTTTTCCTTTTGTTTGTCCCCTGTTTTTTGTTTGGAAAAAAAAAAATATATAAACATCCTCTACAATGATTAGAGAATGTGTTTTAATCTTACTACCACTGAGGTGATGTGTTAAAACATAAGCCAACAGAGGGGCATTAACGCAGCTGCTTCAATGGTCACATCCCTGTAGTTCAATGCTGTCTTAAGTGCAGCTCATTTTTTGAGTAAGCCTGAGGTCTGCCCAACCACTGGGATATCAACCCTGCATCATCCGCCAAACATGATATGTATAAACATTGCCGACTCAGGTCGGTTAAATGATCCATGCAGTATGATAGAATGGGACATACTCTTTAATTTTAAACGTCACGGTTTCTGGTCTGGGATTTATACGCCGGATCCCCGAAGATGTCATGGCATGGCATCTGTGGAGTGCAAACGCTGGGAAAGGGGAGAGATAGTTAACTATTCTTGCATCGTCTTGACTAACTATTGCAATGCAAGTTTTGAGGTTGAGGGCAAATCAGTTGCAAACTTCTTCTCTTCGGGCATGTAGTCCAACCATTTGAACACCTCTCTAACACGTTGGATGGGCGCCTCACGGTCCACGACAATTTCGTCAGTATCTCCACTGTCTTCACGTTTATGATCCGAGGGTTCGGCGGCCCCGCTCATCCCAGCGACTCTCTGTAATACCCATCGCATTTCTAGGAGATCCCAGCTCGGGAGCGGTCGTTTATCCGGATCATCCGTGCTAACGGTAACTCTCTGCCCAGATACAAGAGCCCCGTACCTAGGCTGGCCGTTCTGCTCCCTCTTGCCTGTTATAAAAGACAGACCCTCACAATCGTCGTAATCATAGAGGCCCCGAGATGTCTCCGGTTCACTAAGTAAGTTGATTTCATCTTTTCCGTGCGCGGGTTTTTTTTTTTGCCAGTAGAATTCGATTTGCATCGCCTTTCGATTAGCAGACAAAGCCACAGGTCGCAGCGCGAACCTACCCGCCCCCCAAAGCGCATGGGCACGTTTATCGAGACTAAGAATATTCGAGCAAGTGTCGACAGGATAAGGAGTCAGGTTTGGCGAATCCCGAAAGAGTTCTGTCCTCCATCTATCCACCCGTTCCTTCTCCCAGAATATCTCCAGGAGATCCCAAAATCTCTGAGAAGCTCTTGGTTCTCGCTGTGCCGCTCTAAGAAGACAGGATGGGTAGATAGATATGCGCCGCTTCTGGATAGGACCATCCTGTGAGGATGCACCTATAATTATCCCTAGTCTTGCACTATTTCAGTTGTTAGAACTTTGCGATTCCATTTGACTTACGCTGACGAACCTGGTCACTCGCCGAAGATGACCGACGCATCGATGACGCGCTGCTCTTTACACTTGCGTGGTGTAACCCTGAAAAAAAAAAAAAAAAAAAATGCGCGTCAGAAAAGCTTTCTATTATGGGTGGAAGTACCGGTGACACTCACATCTATCGACGAGTGAATCGGAGTCCTTAATGGTTGCCTCCAAAAACCCACGAGTGACCGAGGCTTTAGGCATCTCACTCACATCGCGAATCATGCTCTCCAATTTCGAAACACCCGCGGTTTGGCACAAAGCCCAGAAGCACGGTGGTCACATCATTTAAAAGCGTTTCCAACTGCTTCAGGATGTCCGTTCGCTGGCTTGAACGTATATTCCAATGTTCACCTTCTAGATCGCTCAAGGGAATCTTCGAAGTCATGCAAGTCGACGCCATCTCCGTTATTGATTCGAAGCTAAACAGGAAATCCGACTGCGGTTGGCCCTGGGGATCAGGGAGTCAAAGACAGAAGGTCAGTTGAGTCAGCATGACGTTTTTGGGCTGATTCAAAAGAGGAACAGAAGGGAACTTTATTCTTCCGTGGTTGAGTGGCGACCTTAGGAGGAGGATGAGGTCGCTGAAGGGACGTTGAGAGCATGTTTGGCTTCCTCTGTTCCCTGTTTTTCTCCCCGTCTTGCCCGTCTTGACTTGTTGTTTGCTCCTGCTTGGTCAGGGGAGGCGGATGGGAAGAGGAGGAGAATACGGTTGAGAGGCTGTTCTGACTTCCAGAGACGCTGGCCTGAGTAGCTGACTGACTGGGTAGCTGACTGACTGGGTAGGTCACTTCCGGGGCAAGCTATCAGTGTGTGGTTGCGAGCACCAGGAGAAGCAATATGGGCTCTCTATCTCACTATCTACCCCGTGACCCACAGCGTACGCGCCAACCTCAAATTAGAGTTTCGCCGCGTCCCAACCAGTCGGGTCCGTTCCCTGGTTTCAGGATCCTCAACCTTGGCCCATTCGGTTTAGGCGGATTCATATGAACTATTCCTTTTTTTTCTGTTCTTCTTGATAGATAGATAGATACAAGGGACACAAACAACTACCATAAGTTTCTCTAATCAGTGTTTTTAATTCCAACTCGCTCAATTCACACAACCCTCCCAAAAACCTCTACTAGCAGCAACTTGGGGGCAAAAGAAAAAAAAAAAAGCTCTTAACTTGCGTATGATATCATCGTCCTCATCAATTTCACGCACAACAAACTACTACCACCCCCATTCCAATCTGATTCCAGCGCATCGAACTCATATCCCCAGCCCAAAAAGCAACCAACGCAAAAGGGGGTTTTGAAAACAAAAGGGACAGAAGGCCACCCAATAGAGTCAATGAAAAAAAAAAAAAAGGGGAGGAGGGGGGAAGGGGGGAACCAAAAAACCAAACAACAGGCGGGCAGGTTGGAAGGCACGCCAAAAAGCACCACCGAAAACAACGAGAAGGGGTGCCGGGAAACAGAAGGGCAAAACACATAGATCAGAAAAAGCCGCCGCAGACCAATCACCAATTCAAACCAGTCTTGTTATCCACACGCAAAAACCAAAACCAAAACCAAAAAAAAAAAAAAAAACAAAACAAAAAACAAAAAAGCCACCCAAAAAAAACCGAAAACAAGCAGATCACAAAAAGCCACCCATCCCAATTTTGCAACGTTTCCCTCCCTCAGTTTATATATGTATATATGTATGTATTGTTGCACCCCGGTCTCCTTGTCAAAAAATAGGGAAAATAAACACGTTCAACCACCCTGTAGATCGCTCGTTGCCTTATCGTGCCCGAGCATAACATGCATGCAATTTTGAACAAAAGCCTCCCAGTTGAAAAACAACAGCCCAAAAAAAAAAAAAAAAAAAAAAAAAAAGGAAGAAAAGAAAAGACAAAACGTAGCAGACACGAACTACTCGCATCGTACACACACGCGGTGTGCAGGGATATCACCTCTCCCTTGCCAAAACATATATTGGCGATTGCATCCAAATAGATTCTCAGGTCCGCTCTTTTCTATGCCGCATTTCTCATGGAAGAGAGCAAGGGCCAGCCAATTTTCCACGACTGTAGATCGGACAAAAGGACCAGGGGACAAGGGGGAACGATCGAGAAAGACAAAAAGGCAAAAGGCGGGAGACGTACGTAAGGAATTAGAAGAAAAAAAGAAAAAAAGGTGATAATCGTCGCTACTTCGCCTCTATTTTCACTCCGTACAGAGACAAAGATAAATAAAAGAGAAGGACGAAACCTGCAACTAGTTTTATTTTTTCCTTTCCGTTTCCTTTTCTTTTCCAACAACCCTTTGCTTTTTTGCCTTTGCCCGTTTGTAATGTCTCCTCGACGTCTTCGGACAATAAAATGCCCGAAGAACAAGAAAACGAAAACGAAAACAGTGCACAAAAGAAATAAAAACAGAATTCACAAGTAGCCTCCTGAATTGTCGACGACGTAAAACAAAATAAAACAGAAGGCCTCCCAAAGACATAGGAAATGAAAAACAAGAACAGCACGTTGCGAGCGTATAAAAAACAAAAAAGAACACAAAACAATAACGCAAAAAGCAGAAACCGATTTGGGATTGAAAAGGAGGAAGGGGAACATAGGGTGAGAAATACTAAACAGTGTTTCTTTCTTTCTTTCTTTCTTTTTTTTTTATCATTGTATTGATTCGGCCCGGGCTACCAACAAAAGAATTGAAGCTATTAGTGTCATAGGTACGTATATTTAAATACGATAAAAAAACACCATGCTCAATTTCCTTCCTGGGAGCTCGCTAGTTAACTTTATACGTGGCCCGAGAGTCGGTTGGTTTGGTGCTGTTTAGGTACTTCTTTGTCTTTGGGGGGGGGGAGGGAAGTGATGAGGAGAAGCAGGAAAGGAGAGAAGAAAATGTGATTAACGGGTCGCCCCATGTAGTTTATATAAAGTGAACTCTTTTAGCGGGTTGTTTATGAAAGGGAGGAAAGAGAATTAAACGCAAAACAAGTGGGGTAACTGGGAATGAGAACGCATGCAATGGAGGAAAAATCTGCTGGAAGGGGGGAAAGGACAGCAAAGTCAAGAAACAAGAAACCAAGTCCAAATGCGGTGGGATATTCTCATTGCTGGGAATGGAATCATTTTTCACCACAAAAACTACCAATGGCTTTCAAATAAGCAGACAGGGCCCGATTTTGGGAAACAAGGCCTCTAGAAATAGAGTCGCCGGTTATCCAAAACGAACAAGATACGCCCTGACCAAGCATTCGCAGCACTCAAACGTGCATGACGGTGGATGAACATGCTTTGATAGGATGCTATTGTCGCATATATACTGAGACTGTCGTCAAAGCTCCGCGAAAACTGTGACCCTTTGGAACCGTAGGTCACACGCTGCTCATTTGTGAAATTTGTGCCTTTGCAGAGACATACCCGATCATCCGCAGAAGTTTAGACGTGGTTTTGCAGGGGTGACGCGAGCTGTGTCCTCGGGATGAGCACGCTTGATGGCCTAGGTAATATAATGGAACCAGATGACCCAGTTACATATCCTTGAGAAATTTTCCTGGCTGTTCAACCAGCTGCTTTCGATTGCAGTTACCAGGAAATGGTTTTAGGGCAGAAGTAGTCATGTGATCCACCCCGAGCACCTTCCTTGTATGCATTGTAGTACTCCTGCTCTGGAGTTCTGGACGTCGGAACGCAGACCTGGAATGCTCAGAGCCCGCGTGAAAAGGGATGCCGTCTCAATTAAAAATAATGTTAAAACAATTTGTAGTATCAACGAATAATCTCGTGACCAGCACGACATTTCCTCAACCCCCTCTCCTCTCTTTTTTTTTTTTCTGCTTTCACATTTTTTACTTTTTCTTTCCGTGTTCAGTTCGAAAAGAGTATTTCTGACTTGATTCATAATTTAATCGCGTTTCTCTTCTACTTCGTAATTCCCCATATTCCTGTCACGTAATACCCTGATATAGGCGCCCATCGAATCCGAGAGTTAAACCCTCCGATTCAGGGCATTGAGCATGTCGCTGTCGGTGGAGCTTCGTGTGACTTGGGTATCTGGACCCAGCATTTCCCTCACGCTCAGGCCACGACTGCCAGATGAGCCAGTTGCTGGCCCTGGGGGTGGGGTTCTAATTGGCATAGAAGGTGGAGGGTGCTGTTGTTGGATAGGTGGATATGGGAGATTGGACGATGTAGAGCCGTGCGGCGACGAAGAATGTCGATGCTCGAATGAATATTGGGAATGTGACGACGAACGTCTGTCGTACGGCGCCTGGGATGTATGGCTAGTGAATGCCGCCCCAGAGACAGCCGTTGAGACAGGAGGAAGGGTGGTTGATTCAGAGAAGCTGTATTCTCTCGAGTCACGCGAGGCTACCGAGGATCTCTGTCCAGAAAATTGTGAGACATCAGAACTCGAGGCCGAAACAGGGTCGCGAGAATGATGAGGAAGGGAAGGCTCGTCGGGGCGGGGACGTTTCCGACTCACATGATCTGGTTGCATAGGTGGAGGTTGTAAATGAGGGGGTGGAGGGCGCTCGTCGACGAGAGGCCTTCCATAAGCGGGAGGTGGATATAAACTTTGTGGAGGCGGGAGAGGTCCATCTTGTGGGTGTTGTGGTGGTTGCGGCGGAGGAAGTGGTTGGCCATGTGCACCATATAATGGGATCGCATCTGCTCGAGGGCCGCCCCGTGGTGCCGTGGTGCGAAAATGATTGTAAACTGCTTGGGCAGGGACAAAGGCTTGCGCTTGCGATGAAACCGGCGTGAACATGCATTCCTGGTTAAATCGAACGCAATTGCTGCATCGTCCATCCTGAGAGGATTCGAATCCAGAACATCGAATCTACAAGGAAAGAGCAAGGGAAATTAATTTAGCTGCTATAAATATATAATCCTTGATTGCATAAGAACATCAGCCAAGGCATGAGTACAAAATGATCGACTAACCTTCCGTCTCCTACAATACCTGCAGGCTATCGCAGTTCGTTGTCTTGGAGCGGCAGCCGGATAAACCACAGGGGGTGGAGCTGGGGCCGGGTGGCCATATATATCAGCAGGACGTTGGTATGCTCCATGTGGTGGAGGGAGTTGGTATTCCTGCGGAGGGTGTTGGAGGTGTGGTTGTATCGTGGCCATTGTAGACGGCGGAGGATATTGGTAAGACTGTTGGGAGGGTTGGGCCTTTTGTGTTATTCCCCTTTGGGTCAGAACGGTGTTCCAAGTTTAAACAGAAAAGACCCGCAGATTGAAGAGCAAGGTAAAATTGATAGCGAGAGCAGGAAAGTCAGGTGTAACCAAAAAGGTACAGAGAATTTCTTTTCAAAACAACACAGGCAACGAAGCAAGCATGCAAGCAAATATCATGGAGAGGTTGGGCAAGAGTAGAGGAAGGGGTGGCGGCAAGGAGGAAAGGAGGGAGTACGGACAGGATGCTGTGATGAAGGAGGATAATCAGGTTGACCGGCGGACCATGTAGGAGGTGGATACTGTCCCTGGTGGGTGGGGTCGTTGGACATTTGTTGTAGCCGTGGGGTTATGGGGAGGGAGCGCGGGGGGGTTCTTTCGCTAGAAGTAGGAGGGAAGAGAGGTGAAAACGGCGCGGTTGCAGCGGTGGCGGTATGGGCGAGGAGAGATGGAAGGATTGATGTGTATATAGATTGGCCTGGAAGGAGAGCTGTGCGTCGCCTGTGCGTCGGTTCGTGCGTCGGTTCGTGCGTCGGTTCGTGCGTGACAACAGGGGCCGCAGGGTTTTGGGTGGAGGAGGGATTGGAAGGGAGATAGGTGTTCAGCTCCCCTACACAGACGTCACGACGCGCGGGATGGCCGGGACCGGGATCAGGGCCGAATCAAATGTGCGGCGCTTCTGCTGTGTGATGTCTATGTGCGCATGGATGGACGTCCCAGTTGCAAGCACAATCGGTGAGACTCGGCAACTAGCATAGCCCTTCCACTGTGGGCGGGCAAAGCTGGGTTTCTCAGACCTGCTTCAGCGAGGGGCAAGCGCGGCCGGCAGCGGGCAGTTTGATGACTACCGCCGCCAATGGTTATATAACGACAGAAATGGGACGGTAGAAGAATCGGGCTTTGATATGTTTTCTATCCTTTGGTGTCTTGGTTGGTGTCTTGTCTGTTCTTTGCAGGTAAAGGAGAGAGGTTGGCCCGCAGGACGATGGCCCGCAGGACGATGCGCTTGAGGTTTACGGGCCGGGGTAGGTACTTAGGGCAGTCTAATTGGGGAATGATCCTACAGAGTCCGTACGGGGAACCAGATGCCGTAAACGTGCGTCACAAACGAATGTCGTGGGGTGTAGGGTTGCTTGCTTGTCCTGTCTGCCTGTCTGCTTGGCTGCCTTTTCTTCGTTGTTCTCTTTTCTTCCAACAACGAAAGAAAAGAAAAAAATATATCACTTGTCTGCTCTCCCCAGTGTGGCGATGGTAGGGAATGAAGAACGGGTGCAGTGAACAAACGCCTGCACGGCCAAATCGACAGAACCAAGCCGGGGAAACAGAAGGACAAACGAACCCTCAACAGAAAACAGTCAACACACGCACTGACCTGAGATAGACTGGGGAGGCAGAAGGAGGGAGAGGGAGAATGGAAAGGGGAGGCAAGAGGCGGAGAGGCGGAGAGGCGGAGAGTAAAGGAGAGGAGTGGAGAGGAGAGGAGAGGAGAGGCGAAAATAAAGTGCCACTGGTAAACGGAAGAGTCACCGCCCCCGG